ATCGCATTGGCAAGACCGTGAAGCCATTGGGGTTCAGGTCTGATCCATCTGCTCCATTCGGGGGGCCAGCTGACCCCTGGTACTTGTGCCGTAGCGGTAAGAAGGCTGCTAGCACCGAGTACTACACGTCCTGGCGTTCTTGGCGGGCCCTTTCCACTTGGAAATAGTGCAGGCCAAGGGCAAAAATGTCCCGAACACAAGAGGCTAGGCAAATGTTGCAGGCGTGTGTCATGCCAGCGACAATCATGGAACATGAGCCAGAAACAGCGTCAGGAACTTTTTTTCCCTTCTTGTTGTTTTTTTTTCTCTCTCTCGTCCGAGCGTTGAGAGACCCAGCAACTAACCAGGTCTCACCCTGTTCTCAATGCTTCGAACTGCCTTCTAGTTTCCTTCTTCATTTGCGAGTGGCGTTTCGGTGACTATCCGAGCAGCAAGTCGTCATCAGAAGCCCTACGGCCAGTGAGATGGTCGCCTCATTCTCTCCTATGCCGCAATGGATGGATATACATAGACAACTCGCAACAGATGTCGCCTCTGTCGAGAGACGGCGTGCTCATAGTAAGCTTGAGAGTTCATGCACGTCCTTCCAGGGTAGCAGCACACGCAGCTGCTTCCGTAGCAGGGCTTTCGCAACGTGACAATGTCCTGTCTCGCATCGTCATGGGCGACTTCACCGCTCGCGGAGAAACAGACAAGGGGTGGAAAAACAGACAAGAGGGACAGCCAGTCAGTCAATCACTAAAAGAGCCAGCTAGTGGCTGGATGGTGCCCACAAGAGGGAGGACCCCATCACCGACCCTTTGGTGGCATTCCAAAAATGGGCAGACTCGGGCGCGGTGCGCCAAACTAGGAAGAGGAGAGGGGGAGACAGCAGAAAAGTGATTCAAGGTCAGGGACTTTGCCACCTACCGAGAACTACCCAGTAGCACTGTTCCGTAGGGACCGGGGCAGGGAAGCGGTGCAGAGTCGGTGACGCCGTGATGAAGCGGGCCGGCACAAGTGCTCGAGCGGCTTCGCTGTGGCCGAATGCGTCGGTCTGCGTCTGCCAGTCTCCCTGATGTTGTCATGTTTCAGTCCGTCGATGCGCATTCGTCAATTGATGCGTCAAGGGGCGACATAATGGAAAGGTGATACACGAGCGCCAGCGGCAATGCAATGCGATGCGGAACGTGGCATACCTTGTCTCCGTAGATACCGTGCAACGGCCTGGCGAGCGTATCGTATGCGGTTTCGCGTCTTACTGGTATCAGCCAGAGAGTTAGCATTGGCTCATCATCACCTACTCGTACGCGAATGTATGAGCGTCTGCCAGTTTCACGCCGCCTTGTGGCCACAGGAGGGCGCCCCGGTTGCTGCTCGCGACGGGCCAATCATGAGTCTGTGCGAAGGCCATCCATGGCTCTTCTAGAAGCGGACGCAAGTTTGAGCTGTTAGGGGGGCGGAAGTGGTGATATGATATGCTCGCAATACCGGGATGGCGATATGACAGAAAACAAGAGCAGGTGAAGATGTTATTATTCACCTGAATGACTATTCACCAGTGACACGCGCTCTCGTGCTTGCCTATGAAGGAGGGGGCTTCTGGTGGCTGCTGGCGAGAATCTGGGGTAAGTCTTGACTCCCTTCGCGTCCCCTCGCTGCGAATACACAGGTGTCCGGTAGCAGCAGTAATACTTCGTAATTTCAGGTAGTAGTCGAATCTGTCGGTAACCGTGCTAGTTCCGGTTCTCGAGATTCAAATCTGACAGAGCGGGAGCTGAACAAGATGGCACCCCGACAACAGAAATTGCTCGGATATCTCCTTGAGGCGAAGTCTGGTGAACGTGCACACAAGGTCAATGCGATGATGGATCGGAGGCGTCGAGCTTGGATTCGCGAAGAGAGATTTCTCGGGACCCGAAGATGGGGACGGCAGCTGAGGGACGGGCTTTTTAGAAACTTCGGAGCAAGCGGCAACTTGAAACGAAACAGAGCCCGGCACTTGGGGACAGGTGTGCTGAAGGGAACAACCAGGAAGGCGGCAAGAATCAGCTGAGGCACGGAGCAGGCGGCGTCATGATCGCGTTCCTTGGTCCAGGGACAGCTTCACACTTGCCCGTAGGCAACTCCGAAGAAGGGGCCCCCCAACAACTTATACGCCAGGCGCCCGGAGCAACCGCTGCTCGTAACCCGTATCATGCAAAGCACCGCTGCCCATCCTGGGATCACAGACTTGTGCCACTCGCGCTGCTGCGGTGGAGGATGGAGGATGAGTCCGATGATGATCTGGTAGCGGTGTGACGGGCTCCAGCCCTACCTGTGCCGCACCTGGTCGGCTAGCCCAGCTCTGTTGGCTTCTTCTTCTTCTTCTGTTGGCCATCACTCAGGCAGCCAGCCACGGCAATGTTCCTTTTCGCATCGAAGCCCCCCCTTGCTCTCGCTGGTGTTTCAGGAGGGTGTTGAGGCCTCGGTCCAGCACGTTGGCAGCCCAGCCCGCTGCCGCTGCAGATAGACGCAAGATGCGCTTATACCTACGGGGTCTTGGTGGGAGAGCACGCGGCTGGCCACGTTGCGCCAGAGGGAGGCTAGCTAAGCCTTAGGTACGAGATCGTCCTTTTCTGCCGATCTGCCAAGAAACCCGGAGTCCCAAGGCCAAGATCTTAGTGGCAGTGCTCATTTCCTCTTTTGCGTGCTCGCTCGTACATACAAACGTACTGGATCAGTCGTGGCGCGCGTAGGAGGTACTGCGTACATACATACGGATAACGGGATCCTTTTCCATTTGGGGCTGATGGACGGCCGATTGCTCGTGCTCTGCACGACTAAGATTGATATATGTCTTTGACATACACATTACCGTGGGGAAGCATGCGCAGCTTGTTTGCGTCCCGCTCATATTCCGTCTGCAGGCCAGGCTGGCCCACAAGTACATCATGCTGCCGCTTTAGAAGCTCTGGCTTGTTGCAGCTTGTGCCCTGTGAGTGAGCTCCGTTGCCGGGCTGAAGAGGGGCTATGCAGCTGGCTCGTATCATGAGAGCCTTTGCAATGCGACGGGCAGACATGCTACTGCTAGCAGGAGTCGCTAGTGATGCCCGGGGCCGGTCGATTCGGGCTTTGGGCTCTTCCCGATGTTCTTCCTGCTGATGAGGATGGAATGTTAATGGTATGCATTTGTCGGGGCGACATGATGGCGCTCCTTGAGTGCGCACTCCGCACGTGAGTCGGACATCTCTCGGTACCCGTGATGTTGTAGGGTAGTCTTTTCCATGACATGAATTTGACGACTTCACAATAGGATCACCGCATTGGACTCATCGTCGCTACCTATGACGGAGGGCGCCGGGCAATCAGTCGGATGCCGTGGATCAGTTTGCCATTCGCCTGCTTTGTGACGTGCCACTCGCTGATGTGGTGCAGTATTAGGAATAAGCTCCCAAGGGCTGTGTCCGGGCGGAATCACTTGGCTTGCCACTTGGCGCTGTTAGTATGGAAACCATTCTGCCACCTTATAAGACCTCGGGAGATGACCACCGACCCTCTCCCACAAGCCGTTGATGGGGGTTACCGTGGATTCTGCTGATGCATTTACTCGATGCCAGCACGTCACATCCCGAGCACAGAGTACAATGTACTCGTACAGCGGTCCGTTGCCAAGTCAGCCGGCGATGTCTGAGTCCTTGAAGATGCACAACTCGGTACTCGTAGTTTCGATGCTTGTAAGCTAAGCACAGATGTCGACGATCCTTTGCTGATGTGATGGGGTTGCGAATTTGCGGGGTCGTGCAAGGCGGCTTCTAGTAATAGTGCAACTGCCACGCGAGCTCTCTGTGTCCTTGGCTCGTCCCGGGAGAGGACGCGAGGAAGCGAGGCATCAGAGCAGCCAACAAACTTCCTTTCGGGGCTGACTACCGTATGCCAATACTCCGTCCCCGGCCGTGTCCATGCCAACGGAGTTGTAACTGTCCGTCCTCAATATTCTGTCAGCCCGCATACACACATCTGCATGCTGGTCTCTGGCATGAATTCCGTCGCCAGAACAAGAAGTCATGTGTCGAATGTGGCCCTTGCCTCCGCCGCGTCCGGCGTGAGCATCGGCCATACGGACGAGCGGCCGACGATAAATGGCCTGCCATAAGCCCGTTGACGGCCGACAGAGCGGCGGAGATGGTCTCTGCTGAGCTCCGCTCACGTGGCACGAGCAGACGCAGGAGCCTGATAGTTGACTATGCAGTAAGCCCATCGTTTGCTTGGCCACGCGCCAAGGAGCTGACCATGAGCTTAATCTCTGCGCCGCGTCTCAACCTGGGCCAAGCTGAATTGCATTCGTACAACCAGGTCCAGGACCGCGCAACGAGAAAGCCATGCGCCGACAGCCGAGCCGAAGCCGGGGTCAAGGACGAAGAATTGGTGGCGCAAAGCTAGAATACTGATGCTGAGACAATGGCTTGACGACGGTGGATACGAGCAGTGCCTTCACCGACTCTCAATGGCTCCAAGGCTGCATCTGTGTGGATGACGGAAGGGCGCCACCGTGATGCTGCACCTGCTAGGGCGCTTCCCCAACGCCCATGGCTCCCGTTAGATGCAAAACCTGGCTTCGTGTGTGCGTCCCACGTGGCAGATCTCACAATCCTGCCACTTTCCGCAGGTCCTCGAACGGTAGCCTCGATTCTGGAACTCCGAGGCGCGATAACGCAAGATTGTGTGATGTACGCACTGTGGCTGCAGATGGATTAGCACCCTAGATTGGACTGATGGAATGACAAGGAGGGTCCTGCTTCCTCAAGCGCCAGAGCAAACACTGGATGCACCCACGATGAGAGAGACGGAGACGGCCCAAGCTCCCAGCTGTGCTCCCAATGCCGTTTCTCGTAATCGTAGAATGCTGGTACTACTACTGGGAGAGTTCCCCAAAGCTGCTCTGCTCTGGTAGCGCAGTGTCTCCGGAGAGGGGAGACTCGGTCTTGGCCACCGACGCCACAGTTTACCTACCAGTGAACAGCAAACGCGACAATCAGAAGATGGAACGCATGGCAGTGCATACCGTCAGAAGGAGACTCCGCGGAAGACGCATCACCAGCTGTTCGCAACGGAAATTGCAGGCGCTTCGAAACATGGGCGACCACTGCCGGGATATTGATTGTATGACGCAGAGTTGTGGCGGGAGCAGGGCGCTAACGTCTTCCTTCTTGGGCAGATACAGTAGCGTCTATCTGGTGTGTTTCTGGCTTAATGCAAAGTGCTGCAATGCAATCACAGTAACGAGGTAGCGAAAGAGCCCTTAGCCAATTATGTATCATAATACATACCCACTATGCATCTAAGCAATCAATTACTCTGCTGCCCCCCCGACACCGCCGGTCGGAAAAAAAGCGGTGTCAGGAGGCAGAACGGGAAAAGGGGAACGGAACGGTGGCTTGAACTGGTGGATATGCCATTTTGCCACGTGTTTTGTGAAGATGCACCACGAGGCGCCATGACGGGGTTCTTGCGCGAGAAAGCGAGCCACCCCCAAGCTGCAAATGCGAGTTATTCCCTGTCGCCCGCTAGGGAGCAGAAAGAGGGGGAAAAGGAGGGGGTGTGTACTATGGATGTACTGTAAACCGGTGGTGGTTGCCCCAGGCCAGCGAGCTTCGTGCGATTGGATCTCAGCTTTTGTGTCCTTGCTTTGTGCTTGGCGGCCTGGCCTGTTGGCGATTCTCTGCTTGTTTGCTTGCTGCTGGGTGAGATGAGATGAATCAAAAGTCCTACCTTGGATAGTTGCACTATGTATTATCGCGCGAGAGGCGTTGCGTTCCATCTTGTGCTGCCGCGACCGTTATCTGTACGTAGGTACCTAAGGTGCTATAGACATCGTTGCCGCTGCCTTGCTCTTGTGCGTCGTACCCGAAGATGCTGCGAATAGCAGCTGTAGCATCGGCTCATGACGTCCCATCTCAGCAGAAAGGCGACTCACCCTCAACGAGCAAAAAGGGCTCACAGCAGCCGAAAGAGGGCACCCGCAGCGCCTACGGAAACGCGAGGTGGTTGCACAGCAGGAAGAGGAGGGCTGCTCGCTTCCAGCATGTCCAAGGTACATGCATACATGTGAGCAACGCGTGCGCGCCTTGAACTGCCGGGCTTCGGCTGTCCGTCAACAACCTGGTACTTTTACTGCTGGTGCTCATACATGCGGTAGCATCTGGCTGCCAACAGCAATTGCTTGCACACATGCCTATCTCAAGTAGGTAGGTACATGCCGTTCGTATAGGTACTAGTAGGTAGTGGTGACAATCTTGAAAATACGTTCATAGGCCAGTCGAGGCTTGGCGAACCGAGTCTCACTCCTCAAAAAAACTTGCTGATGCTAGGTATGTGTAGAAGCGGCCTACTGAGGTGCCATCAAGCCCATGATTGTTTCGTACACTTGCATTCCAGAGGTTGCGTGGTACCGCGCTGCCTATTACATACCTACAGTACTCCCTACCGCATTATGGAGTACGAGCTCTGCTCTGCCGGCCGAATCTCGCCTTTGCTCCCCTCTCGTTATTATCCGAAGATGGCCACATGGCATTTGCCGTGACACGTGCGATCCTCGTCGCACGCACATCCAACAGCCAGCCCACGGACGGGGATGTGCATCATCCCCAAAGTACTCGTACAAAACACCAAGCCGTGAAACCGGACACGAAGAAATGTCTGATGCAATATCTGGTAAGGCGTAATACCAAGTGGCGTACGATAGAAGAGTGGCACAAATCGCCAGCTTCTGATGTTGCTGAGCACAAAATCACACATTCTTTCCATGTATGTACGAGTACTCCTATGTGTAATAGTACCTAAAGGTAGGAGTATTATACGGAGTACTCGCACGCCAACTACATGTGCCTACCTACCTAGGTACTTCTGGGCAGTAGCCTGATTCCTTCACGGCGCTGACGGCCGCTTGTCAAACTCCTGCGGCATGCACCGAATGCTGGCCAAGCCGTTGCCCGTGCCGGATAGTTGAATAAACATATCACACGGGCTATCAATAATCATATTATTACTACTACTATCACTTTTGGGCATCCGCAAAATGTGACATGCCTCGCCTTTCAAGACGCTGGCCGAAATGGCGTGTCGATAATAAATAGACTTTCCAGGCTTATTGTGGGCCGCGGGCCATTTTCCTGCTTCTCGAGCTCAATTCCCGTTGTCCTGCCTCCCCCCTCCAACTCCAGTCGTCCATGGATCGTGAATCATTGTATTGGCGGAAGTGGCCTGATCACTGCAATGGTCGAGCCTCTGCCCGGTGGATCGGATTGGCAAACGAAATCGCAAGAGTGGGAGCATTGAGCAGGATATTACTTCACGAGTCGAATACCGCCTTGCTTTGCCGGGTTCGAAGACGCGCAACGATTGATGGTACTCGTGTGTAGAAGAGCATCGACCACATCCCCATCTGCTAATCTGTCTATTGCGAGTGCAATTACTGTAGCTGTTCCCGATGAGCTCGTCCGGAGCATCCGATGGTTTCATCCATTGGCTCCGGTAGGACACCGCATCAAGCTGCAATGGATTCGATTCAATCACAGCAGGAGCGCTAACTGCAAAATGGCACGGCATGACAGACAGCCTCGAGCCATCCATCCATGCCCTGGCGCATTTCGGCGGTGAGCAACGACGCTCATGCTCGTACAGTAAGAGAGTCATGAGGTAATGAAGGCAGCTGTCTGTGTGCAATTGTACCAGTGATTCAAGTGCCACGCAAGGCGAGGTTGACACGGCGCTTGCAGGCCGCAGTATCACGTTGGAAGCGTTGGGCGGCTTCTACATCTACCTAGGAGTCGCAGCTATTATGCATTTCGCGCTGAAGGAGACTACCTCCCTATGGAAAAAGTACTATCAAACAGTCGTTGGTTCTATTTATGGTACTACTCGCTGTGTCAGTACTCGTACCATCTGACGCATCTCATCTGAAACGGCGATGCTCAGCAGCTTGAAGCCGAACCGTTGCTTGTTTAGTACAGCTCCTCTCTGTCATGGCATCAAGCTCTCACGAAGCCGCACTATTCGCATGACGCTCTTCCCAGCCAGCTCTCCAGCCAAACAAGGCATATCCATGTCCGACGGGCAAAAGTGCACGAGACGTTGTGGTCCCTTAGGTGATCATCACCTTCTGCTAGCTTCATACAGCCGCCCAAATGGCAGTTCGAGGGGCCGCCAGAACCTCGAGATCCGCTCCTGTGCAGCTCGAGTCTCGTGTGATTGTACCTCTACTTGAGAATGCCTGTCCGAGTAGCGAGTACTTTGCCATGTGCTGCGCATGCACGCCCTCCAACCTCCAAAACCCCCCCCTCCCAGCATCGCGAAATAAACTAGCCAACCAACCAAAAACCCCGACAACCCTGTCTCTCTCAGGACTCGCCTTTCCACTTTCGCACGCCCCCCTGCAACAAATCAGTTCGCCTTCTTCCCGCCCTTCCAAGGCCTTCCAAAGGGACTTTACCGTGCCAGGAGCCGACCGACCGACGCCGCTGCTTGGGCCAAGGACGGACGAGTGGAGAGTCAAATTCTGCAGCAGAGAGGAGCAGGGCAGAGGCAGAACGAGATTGGGCCAAGCAAAAGAGGCAAATGGCGGGCAAAGGCTTGGTTTTTTCCATGCCTCCTGTCGCGCCATGGTAATCAATTCTCGATAACCTCGGGTGAGAAGCTATCACAACAACTGTTACACTACGGTTCGTAGTGGTGATCAGATCCCGTCTGCAAATGCTGCTCTATGACCCTGACTTTCGTCAACTCCTTCATACCCACACACCCCTCTGATGGCCATGGACGGGACCAACAAAAGTACGCGATACTTGCTGTGCCTCTAGCACACGGCAGAAACCCTGCTCGGCTCTCGACTCAGCCCAATGCCCATGCAGTGGCCCCGTACGATAGGGCACAGGGAAGAAGACTGAAGCAGTTTGCTAGTGACGAGCTCTGCCTCAAATTTCAGCGCGTCCCACGTACGAGTGCGATGTACCTACCTATCAACTACCAGAGAGGCCTAATTAGCCCGTTGCTTGGCCTTGGCCGGGAGTCGTTGAGAGGACGATGCAAAGTTTCATCTTCATCTGCGGGATGACTGGCATTTCCTGATTGCGGCGGACTGACGCCTCTCATTGGCTGCGGCGCGAGAGATGTGTGATGGGGAAATGCATCGATTAAAGTGCTGCAGAACTGGCGGGTGTTGGTCGATGGCATTCTTGATCACCAAGTTCAGCTACTGGGTACATATTACTGGAGAGTCTTAACGACGTCGAGTGCCTGGTTAGAATGCGCATCTAGGAGAAAGTTCCACTGAAGACACGCTCTGCTACTAGTAGTAGCTTTGTCCATACCCGGCATTTGCAGTCGCATCGTCGGCGTAATTGTTCACTTCAAGGTCGAGATATCATATCTAACATCTTGGAAACGAAGCTCCGGCTTTTGCTTCGGGAATCTTCACCTCTCACCCCCCTTTCGGAGACGCTACGAATGTGGACTAATACTCGCACCATTATCATTCTTCTCACAGATTCCCTGCCCTCCAGAGACTCGTACGATTTGCTGTGATTGCGTCAGCTTTCCTTGTCGTCTTGAACCGCCCACTCCCGCCAGGTCTGATCTTATCATCTCTTCTTTGCGGCTACTGTACGAAAGCAACCGCATAAATCAACTCCATACCCATCTTGTGACAAATCTCCACCTTCCTGACTCAACTACATGTAAGGTACCTACCTTGCCTATCGATCACGCACCTTCTGCGAAGAATCAAAGTTGGCATGTAGCAGGAACTCATCGGCACCACCTGCCTTTGATTTGCTCCTGCGGCGCTAGGAGAATTCTCGACTTTCTGATCTTCCTGCCATGTGGGTTCTTCTTCTCCATCCATCTTCTCCTTCTTTTCTCCTCTCATGGGCCTCAACATTCAGCCATGCGAGATTCCTGAGGCTTCGCACGTGGGGGCGTCGCAACAGGCGGAATGAGTCGTGTCTCCATCATGCTCGTCTGCATTGCCGCTTGTGGACTTGCTCCGGAGGTCGCATTACTACCGACACGATTGACGCACCAGGCGCCATGTGGCCGCTGTCGTCATTTGCAGCATATACTGCAGGTATGCACTACGACTGAAGCAAAGCCGGCGGGAGATTCGACATCAGCAGCATGATGCGGAGAGCTCGCATCGTGGCTCGAGCTTCCCCATGATTTCGTTGCTTCTCGTTTCGTTCGCTTTCGTGGCTGACGAAGCGTTCGACAGGACTTCGCCGACCCCTCCAGCCCCGACAAGAAGCTCCGCCCACTTCCCGCCATGGCTTCGGCTAAGAGCGTTCGATTTCGCTTTTCTTTTCTGGGCTTCAAGTACGGGGTATGGGGGTCATGAATGCGACGGAGCACCGCCCTGTCTGGCGAGCTCCCTCGTCCTCCGCATGGCTTGTCCTCCGTGCGGCACTCCTGGTACTGTGGGATTCGGTACCAGCATGCCGACTCGCCGTGTCTGCAGCGCAAAACCCGGACACAGATCTCCCCACGGCCAAAGCGTGAACGAATGAAGCCCGAGTTGCCAATCTCGTTCGTGTGGAACAGAATGATCCATGCTGCTCAACACCATGGGCGGTTATGCCACTTGTGATCCTGGCTTCCGCTTGCCAGAACGAGGACACGCCGCACGCCTTTGCACACTGATATGTCCTGCATGAGATGGAGAGCGCAGAGGCCTGCCCAGCTCTACCCTGGGCTTCGAAGCTGTCATGGACTTGCTTCAGCGTCTCCATCCTTGTATGAAATACTTGCGCCGCAGGCAAGACAGTCGACAGTTATCCATGTCCTGCGTCAGCATCGCCGATATGACAACTGTGTTGCTTGTTAGGGCTCGACCCAATCCTGTTACTGACCGGACATGCCGCTGAATACTCTCCGAAACTATCCAAATACTACCAAGTCGCCGGTATGTTATACTGCCCGCCTTTGCTTTTGGCGCTGCACAGTTCCAGGCCGGACCGCGGTTCAAACGCCTCACGCTTCCTTGGTCTTGCTCGATGCTTTCCCCCGGCAACATTGCAAGCCACTCCGCTCCGTGGCTGGTCGGAGAATGCGCAAGTTTCAGAGAATCGAACGACGATGTGGCTTCAGCCTTTCGTATCTCTGTCGCTTCTTCGCTCCAAATCAGTCCTGGTCTTCTTGGATATAGGCCTGACGGCGCCCTCTGCCTGAATAAACGTGCTGTGCTTGTTCACAACCGAGCCTCTAATATAGCTGCATACCAACTGGCTAGTACAGCACTGCAAGATCCGTTTCAGTCCAAGACCGGCTGTCAGACGCAGATCTGCCGCGGCAGTACGCATTGCGCTTGCGCTGTTCTCCGGACCTACATGACGGGCTTACAAGGGTCAATCTGAGTACGGGATATTGCAGACTGCCATTACTATTCCGTGCCACTTCGAATATGTCCTGTCCTTGGCCGTCCGAAGCCCGTAGGCATACGCGCTCTGAGTGGGTAACAAGAGCTATTGAGTTGCTTGCGAGTCCTGCAATAGGTAGGTGACTTGACTTTGCCCTCCTCGATTCTGCGCTCTAGACCATTTGTTATACCGGACAGGGATCGCCTCAAGGGTGCTCTAGTACTACAGTACTACGTATACGATAGTTGAGGCACGATCGAGTCCCTTGATAACAAATTGACAAACAGCATACTAGTACGGCGTGCGACGACAGACTTCGGTGCTTTATGGACATCTACTCTTACCCCTACTCTTTCTAATAGTAGTTCCAGCGTGTCACTCGGTATGGGCCGCCTGTGCACGAGCAGAGGTCGGGATGACCAGGCTTATCGAGATTGAGGAAACTTATCCGTTTGTAGGTCGGACGAATGCATTCGCTCGCAACGTGGTTCGTGTTTCATACTGCACGATCCCGGAGTCGATGTCCATTGATTGACCAGGGCATCATATCGCGCACTAATACAGACAGAGACAGACAGCGCATGCCACCGCCTCCCTATACGAAGCAATACGTGGAACAACGCCACATCGTTCGGCTGGGCATTTGAGTAACATCGGTAGTAAAGCCTCGATCGGCCGAGACTGTGCAATGACAGTCTCTGCGGTTCGATGCCAACATCCAGCGCTTCCTCCTTGTGCTACGAGTACCCCATACCAGAATGAACAAGAGGACCGGGCGGATTGACATGTAGGTAGACTGCGACTCGTGCTACCGGTGTGTATAGACGAAAAAGGCCAGGGGTCACTGGCCGCCATTCTCTCTATGGCATCATCTCCGTTCATGGCTCGAGAGTGACGGAGCCACTATGTGATGGTACCCTACGCGCATGACACAGTTCCATAGGTGCCGCTCCTTTTCTCGATGGAGCAAGGAAGAAGGAGGAATAAACCCATTGGGTGCCCCCGGCCACGAGGCAGCAATTGCCGACAAGGGTTGCTTTTGCCACATACTGTACGAGTATGAACTCATCACACAACCACGTTCAGATGTCCAATGAGACACAGACTGGCAGTTTGTTCTTCATGCTTCCACCAAGTTAGCGTTGTGTGGGGGATGCTCATGACTGCAACTTGTGTAGCAGAGAGCCAACAAACTGCAGAGGTACTGGACGACAACTGCACATCATCATTAGGGTGTCTATGTGCGAAGTCTCAACCAGGGGGGCACATTTGCCTCAAGAGCCATAAGTCATGTACTGTTCTGTACAAGGAACTCGGTCATGAATCGTAACCAAGGGTTCAATGGCATGATTCGTGATGGCAGCGGTTGACGAAATGATAGTCCTAGAACCTAGTTCATCCTCCCTTACCAAGGTTATGATAATCATCGAGAGAGGATCATATCGTATCATGGAAGTGGTCGAGAACATCAATCTTGCCGTTTACCTGTGCCATTGCAGGCGCGACAATTAGCTTTCATTGCAGAGAGCCTTTCGAGCGCGTGCCTGAAGACAATGACAATATTCGAGAACAGGGGACGAATGGAGCAGACTCTCCTTTGGTCCTGTTCCCTCGTAAGACGTATCGCGACAGACGCATTGGGTGAGAGGGAGCAGTCACTATTTCGATGACTCTTGAATATATCTGATGCCCCTGAAGCTGTTCATCTCGGGATTTGATTCGACCTATTTTTGATATTACAATATTTTCTTACGATGGTTTTTGATGCAAGGAATAGGGTGTGTTTATACGGCGCTGCAAGTGGTGGCAAGATTCTTACAAATGCGTCCAAATCTGAAAGGGGGTATGGGAGCCAGCTCAAGCTATGGCGTGTCTTGGTACAGCAGCGTGATTAATTGGTTCACTGCTGCATACAGTGGCTTCATGCTGTTGTGTTCTTGCTCACTGAATCGAAGAATGAGCTTGAATGGAGGCTCGGGCGGTCGAGGTCGAGGTAAGTCCTGCCAAGAGAGGCGTAATGGGATCGGGAGTAGGCGATTGATGAGGTTACGCTGGAGAAGGAGTGGCTGGACGAATGGACTGGGCGGCGCAAGCAAACATTCTTGTAGTCGTTGCTTACAGTCGACGAGGGGGCTCGCTGTCTTGATATTCGGGATTGGGGTGTGATTGTCGGGACCTCACGAGGACATCTGAACCGGTTGACTGCAGTTTCGCGAACTGGTTTGAGAGAAATGTATGTACAAGTATTGATACTTTCTTTGTGGGAAATGGTCTTGTATCTAAAGCCCTGAATGATGCTGTCCAATGATGAAGTCTTTCCGTCAGTTGCCTTGATAGTTGTGGTCAACTACTAACGTCATGGACTTGGGTGGACTTTTGTTTTCGCATTGTGCTTCTTGAAGCAGGTGATTTGGAGAAAGACAAGTGGGCTTCCGGTGATGTTTGTCATGGCGCATTTTATGGGGTTTCGTGTCTTTTTCGTTTTTCTCTAAGATACTGGCGGTTATAAGAGGGGAGTCGAGGATTAGAGTGTTGCGTGAAGGCTTGGACAAGCTACATGTATGGATGGCACCTGGGAATAGTAGTGGCAGTATGATGAGCATCTGACCTCTGGCTGTAATACTAGATATTGATGAGATCTAGGCTGTGTTATGGTTAGGTGGCGTATCTTGGAAGTTTTCTCTCCGAGTAATGCTGGTGAGAATGATGAACAACACTTAAACACCATCTGAGCTCCCTCCTCATGTGTCAACTTTGTTCATGACCAATAATGGTTTCGTCGGGTACCGTCCTTGTCCCGATATACAAGTCATGAGATGTCAGGTCAGTTCTTCTACTTGAGAGAGAGAGTAGTCTTGTTAGGGCCTCACATTCGAAGTGCTATCGCTGTTCTCTCGCAGTTTCTTGAGACTGAAAGTCTGACGTGTAGACCTTGGATGCATGATCAACTCGTCAGAGCTGTGGCGAAGGGAACGCTCGTATAAATGTTCTTGACACTTGGATCATTTGACTGTCTAGCATGAGCTTTATTTTATTCTTTCTACGTATATCTCGAGCACGAAGGTTTTCAAAGGTCAGAAGGTGCTTCCATTGACAATGAGAACAAATCTGACTCGAAGAGTAAAGATGCACAAAGCATGATACCAACATCAATTGTCTCGTAGAGAAGATGGCCCTGAGACGCAACACGATCTGTACGTTTGACCATGATGTCTCCCGCAATACTGCTTGTCTAATGGATGACAGCTCGGATGGCAGTGGCTATCGCCTCGACTTGAAGTGAGATGCAAGAGAACATGCACACTATCTTCAATTCTGGAAAGAGGAAAAGATGTGGACTGAAAGAACATCATAGTCACTATATGTAGTGACTCGGCTGATCAGCAATTTGGGGGCTGAAGTTATCTAAGATGCGCTCAGGTCAATAAGGAGACCTTGCGCAAGCTGCCCCAGAGCTATGACGGGTAGTCTACCTAGTCGGTATACGTGGAGCGAGTTATAAACTGCGATATGTGGTCTCTATAACTGCAAGCGAACTTGCGTCCATCACAACCGCTGCATGGCGTGTGTTCTGGGTTATCTTGACGACTGCACATATGGCTCAAGTCGCCTGGTGCTTGGCCTTGAACAGTGCGCTCCCTTGGGAGACAACGCAGAGCTCTTACAGGAGCCAAGACGAGATGCTGCACATTCATCCATTCATTCATTTTATTGAACGATTGATTTCAAGATCAATTGACCGAGTGTGCTTCTAGCCATCACCATGCCCTCCGCATGCTCGCCAGTTGCTCTTGAGGTCAAACGATGCCTGGTAAGTGTACAGGTAGGCTTCTGCTGGCTTCTACTCCATCCCACCACAGCGCTGGACTTGTATGATATGGATGGATGCACATTTACATCATCGCTGCGATTGGGCATGTGATGGGCCGTGTCGACTGCATCACCTTGGTAGGTATTGAGGCTACCATCGTCACCCGTTCTACATCTAAGGTAAGTAGGCACTCTCTCCTCTATACATACAACTCGCAGTCCCTCAAACCACACAATCTGCAATACTTCCTTCAACACCAAAAAACAAAGACCCGCGAATGGCTGCCGACGGCACAGCGGCTCTTCAACTCGGTATTTCTCGGCTCGGCTCCTCCAGCTTCTTTCTCCAGCGGTCCGGAGACCCCACGGCCCTGGAAAGCTCCCCGCCAGAGTGACCTCCGAGGGACCCCTAAAAAGCCCTTGGCCAGGCGGGACCCGCGGGCATGTGACGCGCGCCCTCGCAGGTACCGCACGAGTACCCCTTTGTTGCCCGCGGGCGCATGACGTCCATCTGTTTGGGGGTAGTAGTAGCACCGATTTGCTGAGCCGGGCAAGTTTCTTTCCTTGCGGTTTCTCGGTCCCTAACAAGCATTGGCACTCTCTTTCCACCCCCCCCCCCTAAAGCAGATCAGGTTATCCTCGTGTCGAACAGTTTTCTGTTTTCTTTTGTCTTCTGTCGCTTCCTGTTCCTACAATCCTTCTTCTTCTTCTTCTCTTCTTTGACCTCATTCAGATACAGCGACAGCAATCGAAGCTCTGCGGCGGCATGTCTCTTTCATAAGACCGAAGAAAAATCCGAACCGTCGCAAAACCAGCCGCCACTTGCGCCGCTATGCCATCCGCCTATGCTGATCATGGCTCGATGGCCGACATAGCACGCGACAAGGCTCGACAGCACGGCGCCGCAGCTTCGACTGCTGCCGTGCCCCGGAGGATAGACGCTGCTGTGCCCCCTGCGAGCGACGTGGACCTGACGTCGCGCGCAAAGACTCGGTCGTGGGACTATGTCTGGAGATCCGGTGTCGCCGGAGGTATCGCGGGATGCGCTGTGAGTTGTTCTCCCAGAGGACGAGGGCTACATGTCGAAAGGCGCTGCTTGACTTCGACTCAGACGGCCGTCGAGTTTGGGGTTACAGGCATTTGTGTGCTAACTGACTTTGGTCCTGGACAGGCCAAGACAACGGTGGCGCCCCTTGATCGCGTCAAGATCCTCTTCCAGACCAGCAACCCGCAGTTCGCAAAGTACACGGGCTCCTCGTTTGGCGTCGCTTCGGCGATGAAAGACATATACCTTTCCGAGGGCGCCCGAGGGCTGTTTAGGGGCCACTCGGCCACCCTCCTGAGAATCTTCCCTTATGCCGGCATCAAGTTCCTCGCATACGAACAGATCCGCTCCTTCATCATTCCCGACAAAAACCACGAAACGCCATTCCGACGGCTCATCAGCGGCAGTCTTGCCGGCGTGACCTCTGTCTTTTTCACATACCCCCTAGAAGTCGTGCGAGTGCGGCTTGCTTTCGAAACCAGGCGCGATGGCCGCTCCTCGCTGACATCAATATGTCGTCAAATCTATAACGAGCACCCTATCGAGAAGACGCGGACTGCGAAGCTGCCAAACGCACCGGGCATTGCGACAGTCGTGGATTCTGCGACGGCGGCTGTTGAATCCGTGGCGCCGCGCGTCGGCCTGGTCAACTTTTACCGAGGATTTGCTCCCACCATGCTCGGCATGCTGCCGTATGCTGGCGTGTCTTTCCTTACCCACGACACCATGTCCGACCTACTACGCCTACCTTCCATTGCCCAGTACACGACTTTGCCGAAGAAGAAGAACCACCCCGAAGGAAAGGCCGCGCCGCTGCGGTCCTGGGCCGAGCTGACGGCCGGAGGCGTCGCCGGCATGATCTCCCAGACAAGCTCATACCCCCTGGAGGTCGTCCGACGACGGATGCAGGTTGGCGGCGCTGTTGGCGATGGCCGAAGGCTGCGAGTCGGAGAGACGGCGGCTATGATCTTCCGGGAGCGAGGACTGCGCGGCTTCTTTGTCGGCCTCACGATTGGCTACGTCAAGGTGATACCGCTGGCGGCGGTGAGTTTCTACACATACGAACGCATGAAGCTTGTTTTTGGAATATAAAGAAGAAGGAAGGAAAACCAAGGCATGGGCTGTGGTACTGGCGTTTGGGGGGATTCCTGCGGAGCATTACGTGTAAAGATTACTCGACGACCTTGTTTTTTCTTCTTTTCCGTCTTCTTCCATTTGCGCTCTTCATTTTATGTTATATCTGGTTCACTGGGCCTGCACGGGTACCTTGAAGGGACGGAGTCGATTTGATGCTGCTTAGAAGTCTGCACTTGTGGGATTGGTTCCGGTCAATGAAAGAACACGCTCAGAGCGCTGCAGTAGAAGCAACAGATGCAGTTTTATGATGTAAATGCAAGAGTAGCCACCACGATTCCTCACTTTTTTTTTTTTTTTTATTAGTTCGCTGTTGAAGCACAACAATTCTGTCTCAAAGTGACTTTTTGCAGCATTCTCGTACCTATGTAGGTAGGTACCTAGTAGGTGCAGTTTCAGCTGGGAAGTGGTGAGCACCAAGCCTCAGCCTGATTGGCTGACACGGCAACTGCAGCTTTTTAGCCTCCCTCAGCCTTGCTGCGTTCAACCTCTCTGTACCAACTTCCGCTCCAACAAAACCACTTGAGAGGATTCAAGGCTCATCGCCAGCCGGCTTTATTTCTTCACTGCAACGCATCAAAATCGATCAATTATAGAATTCAGACCTCGCTCTCCCCCGAACACTCGCTTCCTAACCCTTCCGCCCGAGCTGCCCTCCCTCTCTAGCGCTTCAATTTCCCCTTCTCGCCGCGCCTCAACCTCTCTCTCCCCATCATGGCGCCCACCGACCACGACCCCCTCCTCGTCCTCCGCCAATCCATCTCCAGCGGCCAGACCTTTGTCCCCAGCGCGTCCGACGATGCCTCGGCGCCCGAGGTGCCCCTCTCGCAGGCCACGCACCTGCAGTTCACAGCGCTGTCGCTCGCCCTGCCCATAGACTCGCCCACGCGCTTCATCTCGAGCGACAAGCCCGTCGACCTGCGCAGCATCTACTTTGCCTGGCTCAACCGCGAGCTGGCCATTCCCGAGTACAATGCCGCGGCGACGAGGCTGAACGAGGACCTGGCCGCCGCCGGGTCCAGCGCCAAGGTGCAGAACCTCGGCTTCATCGAGCGCCTGGACCTCATCACCTGGCTCGAGGGCGCCAGCGAGGAGAGCGAGTACATCAAGCCGCTCGCTGGAGACGCGGGTGCGGCGGCGGCGGGAGCGGCTGCCTCTTCAAAGACGGGCGCTGCGGCGCTGGCCGCGCAGGCGAGGTCCGGCAAGGGGACGATTGACCCGCGGCTGGCGAGTGTGTACGATGGGGAGCGCTGGATGGGCGACCGCAACACGGTCCTGAGGGGCATCAAGCCGACGGTAAGTACAGTCATACTATCATATGGGACCCCTATACACGAATGTTTGATCGGGCATCCGCAATGAATATCAAAGGATCCCCCTGGCTGACGATTACCCAGGACTTTTCCCACGTGCGAAAACTCGCCATCCCCTTTATCCAGAAAAAGTCACAGTCGTCCTCCACGCTCGGCGCGACCCAGTCCCTCTCCATCAACCAAAAGGGCCCGGCTCGCCGCCCCGATCCCATCATCCTGCTCTCCCCATCCGCCTCGTCACTCCTGCGCATGTCCAATGCGCGCTCCTTCCTCGAGGATGGCAAGTTTGTGCCTCCTGACGCCGGCGCGTCTACGGCCTCGATGCTCCACGTCCAGCGCATCATCCCCAGCATCGACCCCAACCGGCCCATGCGCTTCATCCTGGTCGAGGGCTCGGAGCAGTTCAAGCCGGAATACTGGAACCGCGTCGTTGCGGTGTTCACGACGGGCCAGACGTGGCAGTTCAAGAACTACAAGTGGAGCAACCCCAACGAGCTGTTCAAGCACACCATGGGCGTGTTTGTCGGGTGGAGAGGCGACCTGCCGCCGGATAACATCCGTGGCTGGGGCCACCGCGTCGTGAGCACGAGCGTCGACCGTTGGCGAGGCGAGGACGACGTCGCGTCTCGGTTCAGGGACAAGGAGGTTGTCGAGCACATCTGGAAGGCCATCGAGATGAACATGCGAAGCAAGGGCTGGAGGAAAGATGCTGCCCCGACGTCGATATAAGCCGAAGGGCTTGTTTACCACACCTAGCCTTGGTAGAAAGCACCTCGTCTTGTCACGCCATGGAGTCTGATGGAGGCGAGAAGTTGGAAAAGGGATGAGGTGCAAGTTGCTCTATCAGAGCTGCATCGATGGCCATGGCGTAGCCATTGGCCGCTGAGGGAGGGTCTACAACTAACGGAGCAGTTACTGTATGCATTTGGCTGTTCTCTTCTTTTTATTTTTCCATATCTCATTTTCTAGAGCGACGGCGTTTTGGGTTTTGTATCTTCTCCAAGTAGGGTGCGGACAGAAAAGAAGACATAGGAAAATTAGTAGAATGGACCATACCTAGTAATGGAGATATAAGGACTTGTACAAGGTGTGTGAGGTTGATGTCGACTCCATGTGAGGTTGAGCGCCTGTGATTCGCTTCAGTTTCATTGGCCATTGAAAGAGAGCGCTACTGCTAGGCAGTTGTAGTAGTCTCTTTCAATTGGTCAGTCGGTATGTAATTCCTCTCCATGACTTGTTTGCACTGACCATCTAGTACCAATCTCTCAACCTCATTGCCTTCTTATAACCTGCGTCTTCTTGAAATTGCAACGACTACCAACAGTGAGCTCGTTGATACACTCACATTGACGGAACTCTACATTGGCTGTCAGCAACATGTTGATTGAATGTTCAAGCACCTTTATCCGTCACTCCACCACCCGTCATGACATCCAAACCAACAACAGAGGCACCATCATCTCATAGCACATCATCATCCTCACCATCATCCTCACCAGCCCCCCCTTCTTCAACAACCTCATCAATCCTCTTCCAGTCCAACGATAAAACCCCCGTCACCCTCGTCGACATCCCGCGCTCCCTCGAAGAAGCCCAAGTCCCGCCCGGCCACCGGCCCTCTGCGCGAATCATCTCCGGCCCTCCGCCGCGGACGCCATACATCACGCCGGAGCCGCGCCGGGGCAATGATGGATCTGCTTCGACGCAGTCCGCGGGGGCGCAGATTGCAGAGCTGATGGCGGCGGCGGCGGCGAGGGGCGCGCTGGAGGAGCTGAGGAGGGCGTATTCGGGGGTGTTTTGTTTGCCTCGGGTTTGTGCTGCTGTGGCTGCTGATGGCGAAGACTACGACGATGGGATTGGTATGGGTGAGGAGACCGAGGCGGCGTCTTTGCTAAATGTCAAGATTCCTCCCGGGGCGAAATACCTGCACGGATCGATACAAGACCTGCGTCAAACATTCATTGACACGGCGCCGCAGTTCAAGCTCATTGTCCTTGATCCCCCATGGCCTAATCGATCTGTCCGAAGGAACCAGAAAGCAGGCTCCAGATACAAGACCGTTGCGAACATGACTGAGATGCGGCATCTCCTGTCCAGCATACCGGTGGCGTCTCATCTTGCCCCTGACGGCCTGGTAGCAGTCTGGATCACCAACAAAGCCAGCATCTACGACCTCATGACGTCTCCTGCCCGAGGAATATTCGCCGCTTGGGGCCTAGAGCTCGTCACGCAGTGGACGTGGCTCAAGGTCACAGCCTCCGGGGAGCCGATTTTCGATGTTGATTCTGCGTGGAGGAAGCCCTGGGAGACGCTCCTGATAGCGAGGCGTGTGGGGGCAAAGGTGGCTGCTGGTGTTGGATTGAAGTTGAAGCCGCGGGTCATTGTGGCGGTTCCGGATGTTCATTCGCGGAAGCCGAATCTCAGGGGATTGTTTGACGATGTTTTGGGAGGAGAAGGGCAGGAGTATCAGGGCTTGGAGGTGTTTGCGAGGAATCTTACGGCTGGGTGGTGGAGTTGGGGGGATCAGGTGTTGCATTTCCAGGGGGCGGAGCATTGGGGATGAGGGGGGATCATTTGGGGATAGAAAGGATGTAGGGGACAATTTTTTGTTAAAGGTTGAAGAGTAATATACAGATACATTGATACACATGCTATGCCGTCCAAGTTTCATCATACACTGGCCGGCTGCCTTTTTCCTCTCTCCGTTCCCGATTTGTTGAGCCGTTGGAGAGCGCTTTTGCCGCTCTCTCTTGTTCCTTTTTCTCTTTGATCCAAGCCCTTACCTCCCCTTTCTTCCATCGAGGTTTCATAAAATCTCATGACGACGTCGTTGTCGTTGTCGTTGTCGTCGTCGTCTCCGTCGACTTGCCAGCCTTTTCCCTCCCCAGAATCTTATCCCACCTCGGATCCAGCACAACGTTATTCTCCCACTTGACCTCCCCGCTCAGCATCTTCTTGGCCAGCTCGCCCAGCTGCTGCCTCTCCTTGGGCAGGGTCTGCTGCTGGCTCTTGAGCGGGATCTGCATGCGCTGGCGCGCGAGCTGCTCCTCGTTGCGCTGCTCAATCGTCTCCTCGCGCATGCGCCACAGGTCGTTGCTCCAGGGCTCCAGGTCCGCCGGCGCGTCGGGCCACTGAAAGGGCTTGGCCAGCTCAACCGTCATGATCTTGTGCGGCTGCGGCCGGTACCACGAGCGCGAGCTGGTGCTGCGCTGCGTGAGCGGCTGCTGCTTGACGTAGGACCGGACGGTCGTGACCTCGACGCCGTACAGGTTCCAGAGGTAGTCTCGGAGGTCGAATTTCGTGAAGCGCAGGGGCACTTTGAAGCAGGCTTCGTTGGGGGGCAGGTGTTCTTTTCGGAGCATCGTGATGACATGGTTTGGTCTGTGGGTTGTTAAAAGAGTTCTTTGTATGAGCATCTGTGTCGTCTTGGGGATTTAGTTGAAAGAGAGGGGGAGGGGGGGGGGTTTGTTTGGGACGTACAGAAAGACTTGCTTCTTGCCCAGCTTAAAGGCCGGCAATTGGCGCGCGGCAGCGGCTTTGACTGCCTCGGCCATGGCTGCGGCGGTTGTGTGTTGGAGGGAGTCGTGGAAAGGGTTTTGAGGCTATACGGACATGATCCGGCGGTTCAAGTCGCAGATCGGATTTCAACAATCTCGAGTTTTGTTCCATGTGGGGTCGGAATTGGTTAGCACACACAGTCACATGACAGACAACACACTGTATGATACGCACTGTAAGGTAAAGACATGCTTCCAGAATGCTTCATGGTCCTCTTTCACGTGTTTCTAGGCCTTTTCTAAATCAACTGCATGATGCGTTATTTTTAGATTCTCTTCTGCCTCTATGTAGTGGCCGTGGTGCAGCTCTTGGTACGATGAACCAATCATGACTCTCGGTCCGGCGTGTACAATATCCTCCCACGCATCTACACCAATAGCAGCCGTTCATAATGACCATGTTCTTTGCACTCCGAACACGAAGGAGTCCCTGAAAACAGCATAAGTCAAACGTCGCTCATGGGCTGGATCCAACAGCTTGACTGGTGTATATATGCCAATGTTGATAACCCTTGCAATGAACCTGCTATCTTCCTGCTCACTGATGGCTAGAGTCATTGAGAAGACGGCTCACTCAGAAGAAACAATATTCCTCTCCGTTCAACCAGGGTCGTGAACATGGCAACACCAGCGGTTGAGCCCGAAATCGTCTTGTACGACCTGGCTTGCGTCAAGAACATCTGCTTCTCGCCCATTGTCTGGCGCATCAGGCTGATGCTCAACTATAAGCGGATTCCTTACACGACTGTGTTCCTCGAGATGCCAGATATTGAGCCTACGCTCAGAGAGCTGTAAGCAGCGTTCCTCTACTACCGTACTCTCCTTCTGATACCTTCACGGACAACTTTGAGAGCCTCAGTTGACACAAGTCAGCGGCCTCCCTCCCCATGACCCAGCCTCTGGAAACAAGAGCAACTATACAGTTCCCGCCATCCAGCATCTGCCAACCAACAGTTACATCATGGATTCGAAAACCATTGCAGAATTCCTCGAGTCAACGTATCCAGATCCTCCGCTTCAGCTCACTTCAGAGCTGGGCCACGAGATCGAGCTCCAGCTCCGAACCTTGATCGCCCCAACGCTGTACCGGTCCATCATGCCGCGAGAGGTCAAACTCCTCTCGCCGCGAGCGCAAGAGTACTTTCGCCGTACTCGCGAAGCGCAGCTCGGCAAGAGGCTAGAGGACCTGCTGGTTGGTGAGGACGAGCGATGGGAGGCGGCTGCTGCGGACTGGCGTGCTGTTGGCGAGCTGATGAGGCAGAATGAAGAGGAGGGGCCGTTTATCCTCGGTGAGAGGCCGTCTTACACTGACTTTTTCATTGCTGGGTCTATGCAGTCTGTGAGGGCGATTGAGTCGTCCTTTTTCGTCAGGGTTGTGCAGTATCCTGGCTTTAAGGAGGTGTATGAGGCGTGTGTGCCGTACTTGGATGGAGAAGAGTGACTGAGGACTGGAGTCTTGCTGATGGATCGAGAATTCACTTGATTATTGGACGACGTGTAACTGAGCAATGGTGAAGCCTTCTCTTGATGGATATAAGAGAAGACTGTGTCCTTCCATAGAGAGAGCAAGCAAGCTTCCGACGTTTGCAAACGCATCGATCAGATTACTGCACTCCATACTTGCGGCATCATGCGCCCGCCGTCCGCTTCACGCTTCACAAGCCATTTTGAGCCCGTTCATCGAGACTCATGGGCGAGCAGCGGCGAGCTGCACCCAAGCAGTCACCATGAGACGAGGTACAACCGACGGGGATTGAAGCTGAAGGCAACTTCGAACTTCAAGACATTGCGGTTTGGGCTTCTTTTCTTTGTTGCAGGCGTCAAATGCTCTGTGAGCAGCTCATTGGGTGAGTCCGCTGTGAAGCCAACCGCCTCTTCCAGCCCCAGCACCAGTGGAATCGAAGGACAAAGAGATGCTGATTCACTGTCGATGAACGCCGTCAAAGCGTCTTGTAGCCTCATCGCTCGACTCGTTTGCTGGCATCGGCTTCATACATGTACACCAATGTCCATCAACCTACCTAGGTATCTACTTGTCCAGTACATGTACTCAACTTGCCTACCTACCACAAGTGTCCAGTCCTGTATAGCGACCTGCGCGCTCCTGCTGCAGTTGTTGCGCAGCCGCCCAGCAGTGCCAACCTGCCTCCTACAGGCGCCCGTGACGCCCTACAACTGCAACTGCTTCGACCCAGCAAAGTGACGGTTGATGTCGTCGATACTTTGATCCGTCTTCCAAAAACATCCACAAGCGATCCGATCTGTCCACCTTCTCTTCTTCAGCCCCCAGCATAAAGGACCTGCTCCTCCAACAGGGAAATGCGCAGAGCCCCACGATTGCCTTCCGCGACACTTTGATGCCATTGATGCCATTCAGCCATGGAGACAAGGACAGAGTCAAGAGCCCGAGAGGCTTCCTCGCCGCAAAAGGCGCGCAGCACCACGCCTCGCCGGCGCAAGAATGGCCGGTCTCGTCGCACGCCCTCCAAGAGACACACGTCTACGCCTCGCAGCTCGCCCTACCGCTGCTCAAAGTCCAAGTCCAAGACGCCGCAGCGAGGTGTTCTGCGGTCGCCTCCAAGGCCGCGGAGACCAGAGCGCCGAGACGAGGACATGGAGAGTGTTCAGGACGAAGACGAGAATGACGCCCAAGACCGAAACAAGGATGAGGCTCAGAATGGGGTGAAAGACGAACAAGTCACGGCAAGGGAGCGGGTACAGGTCGAGCCAGTCGTCAGCGAAAGGATGCTGGCCGACATGGAGGCGGAAAAGAGGCAATACCTGGGCACCAGCCTGCGATGGGCGCCGCTGGAGGAGCGGCTGTTTGAGATTCTCTTTCTGCGACAGGAGATTCCGCTGCTGCCGAGCTACTGGGAAGAGTACTTTCTGCCGTTTCCCATGCCGGAGGCCTGCTACTGCTGGAGGAAGGACATGAATCCGGTGGTGTACGCGCATGCGAACAATACGTTTCGAGGTGGGAAGAACCCCTCTCTCTCTTGCTTGACATGTATTGCAGTGGACTTCAGAGATACTGACGAAGAAAGGTGTGTAGCTACCGTAGCACTGGCGAGACTCATCGATCTCACCGCAGACATTCTCACGACCTGCCAATCTGGCCTCCGTTCGAAAGCTCCCCAGATGATCAAGAAGTCTCTGGAAAAGTTCCTCAACTGGGCTGCCGAGGACGGCGGCTATCGCCATCTAGAGTACCTTCCCAACATCATCGTCGAGATTGTCGACAGGCAGAGAGAGGACATGCCTCAGACGGCAGCATTTGTGGAGATGCGCATGAGGGACCTGGCGAGGAAGCACCGTCAGAAGCTCGCCATCAAGCCGGAGAAGGAGGAGGGTGAGGTCGAGGGGGATGTGGACATGGAAGTGGAGAGGCAAATCAGGGGCGAAGCAGAGGCCTCGAACGAAGAGCAGCAGAAGAAGCAGGCCACCACCACCACCACCACCAGCAGGAGCCGATCGTGGAGGATGTTTGGGTCGAGGGTCATGGACAGGCTGTTTCAGCTGATAGGGCGGCGGTCTGTCATCAAGCCAGAGTATCACGGGGAGACCTCTGTTATTGAGAGCGATGCCGACGAGCCGATGACTCCCGAATCGAATGATCCAGCCGGGGGCCCGGTAAACGTCAAGCAAGAGGACGACGACGAAGGCGAGGAGATACGAGTTGCTATCAAGAGGGAGCTGCACAGCGAGTCAGACGACGACATTGCCATGGCAGACATCCCCTTGGCTTCGTCATCAGCAGCAAATTCTTCGTCATTGCCGACGCTGTATCGTCGTCAACCACCCGTCATTTTCGGCTTCTTCATCGTCGGGGCAGAAGTCATGCTGCTCACCGCAGATTCTTCCAAAGACGAGGCGGCCATGAACCTCTCGCTGCAGGTGACGCTCAATTTCGAGGACCGCAGCCTGAGCATCTGGAATGCCCTGACGGTGGCCATTGTGGTGTGCCTCGCGAGAGACGACATGATGCAGAGGATGGATGATTTTGAGGAGGCGAGGGTTGTCGAGGAGAGTGATCCTGATGCTTGATGGATGGGCTTTCGAGATTTGAAAGTAAATCCAAGGGGGGTTTGGAGAGGTGGTTGTTTGTCTATGATGTTGAGATGAAAATTGCCTGGGATTTCATGGTGGGTTGTGTGGAATTTTTTGTGTTGCTTGATATGATGGTTTGTCTGCATCGGGAGCGTCTGATTATTTCGCTTGACTTTTTCTTTTTCGAGATACCTTGGGATGTTGATGTCGATTTTACACCCCCCTTCAGTTAGTAGTGGTATAACACAATACAGCCCCTTGATTGCAAGGCCAATTCTTTTCTGCCATAAACATACTCACTCATACACTCAAGAGACTCTTCTCACCAGCAGGAAGAGGCAAACAGTGAGTAATAGTAACACATGTTGGAGATTGTCGGCACGTAAGTCCATCCCATGCCCCCTCCCCTCTCCTCCCTCTATCTATATCATACCATATATCAAACAATGCCATCAATTCTAATGTGGTTCCCCCGTAAAACGCCTTCACCCCAATTTGACCGAAGCCCTCCCTTTTGTGTCTTTTTGGAAAAAAAAAACCCCTTTCATCGTTTTTCATGCTCAAGTCTTTCGTCTCTTTCCCCCATCTAGTTGAATCTGTACAAGTTGATATCGTCTTCCCGTCTGGATAATCTCGGCTCTGTCTCGCTTTCTTTCATTCCTTCTGCCTTTCTTCTCTGTGCCGCTCGTTCGTGTGTGTCTTTGGTCGCAATGCTGCATTTTCATGGTCGAAACGAAAATGAAATCATTACCCCTGCCTCCTTGCTCTCGACGAAGGAGTCGCAGTGCTTCTTCATCGCCTTCTTCCTTGTTCCCAATCTTCTCTCCTCTCACAACGCTGCTTCAGAGTCGGTATTGCTACTATCCAACGGCATCCAGACCTCCAGCTTGTGAAGCAACCGCTGATACAAAAACAGCATGCACCCGCTCTGGATAAACGTCCACACGCCACGGGGCCCGACGCCGCGGAACCAGCCGCCCACGCCCTCGGTATGGTAAATGACCCGCAGGCCCGTCAGGACAGAGGACGTCTTGAGCGCGATGGCGCCCGGTTTCGGCCTGTGCGTGCTCGGAGACGACGTGGATATCAGTCGCTTCTGGGGGTTGGGGTCTTTGGGTCGATGTGTGGAGGACGGTTCGGGCTCGGCGGAGGAGGAGGAGGACGGCGTGTTGACCTGCGTCTGCAGACGGGTCTTTACGACGTCGAGGGGACACGTGATGACGCCGGCGAGGCCGCCCGCGGCGGCGCCGGTCAGGAGCTCCAGGGGCACGCCAATGTCGCGGCTCTGCTTGTAGACGCGGGACCAGGCCTGGAACTGTTCCCAAAACATGAACTGCAGCGCGGAAAAGGGCAGGTCGCGGTAGAGCGTGGCCTTGTAGCCGTAGAAGAGGGCCGAGGCGCCCTCGGTGCGGACGATTGTGCGGGCGGCGTCGACGGTGCCGCGGTAGTTGTAGCCCGAGGTGAAATGGGGGTTGTTGTAGCGGCCCTGGAGCTGCAGCCGGGTCTTGAGGACCTCGGACGGCACGTAGACGATGGACGCCGCCAGGTCGCCGAGGAAGCCCGCCGAGAGATAGGCGAGATGGTGCTGCAGGCCGTGGTCAATGAGGAAGCGCTTGCTCCATTCGTAGGTGCCGAAGAAGAGGAGCGTGCCCGGGAACGAGCCGCCCAGCGCCGGGATCCAGCCCCCGTACAGGCCCCTCGCGATGCCCTCCTGCCGCCAGATGGTGTAGTATGAGCGCCCCAGGGACGAGTATTTCGGCGGGAAGTGCGGATCGCCCTGCTGTCGCGTCTTGACCGTGTCCAGCGAGTGCATCAGCATGTCGCCCGTCGACCCTCCGATGCCTCCTGCGATCATTGCCTAATGAAGAGCCCCAGCCGTCAGCATAACCCTAGCTCAAGATAGAGGAGAGTTTTTCCTTCCGTAAACCCCCTCATTGCATAGCAACGTCATAGGCGAAGGGGGGGAGAGAGACCAACATGGATATAAGGCGGCCGGCCCTCGGCCTCGATTTCTTCGCTGTGCATGGCGTGATGAGCGTGGACGGGCTTCACATGGACATGGCCACCATGACGAGGCTCCAGGGCAGCGGCAGCGGCAGCGGCAGAGTCCCGGCCTGCCGCCGCAGTCGGGTCGCTGGATGTCGCGCTGTTCGGGCTTGCGGTCGCAGAGTTGTAGCCGGCGAGGGGGAACTGCGAGGAGCTGGAGAGGCCTTCGGACATTGGGCGAGGGAGGGGCGTTCAATAAAGGAGGAGGAGGAGGAGGAGGAGGAGGAGGTGCGAACAGCTGAGGCGTCTATGCGAAAAGGCGATGCGGTAGAGACGGAGGAAGAGAGAAAGAAAAAGATAGGTAGAAAGAAGGATAAGAGACAAGCCAGCGCAAAGCAGCGCGCAAACGCAACAATGTCAATGGCAATGTCGCAAGTCTATGCACCGCCTGTGTGCCTGATCTCTCGGCGTCGTAAAAAAGACGAACAAGACAGAATCGAATGGCACGACCAAAAAAAGAGAGAACAGAATGAAGCAACAGTTAACATCAACCGTCTCTCGATGCCTTGAGCGGTCGCGTGGGCTCCCGACGCTTTTTTTCTTTTTTTCTTTTTCTGCCAGCTTGTTGCCCTGAGGCTCCTGATAGGCCCTTTAGCCCCGGCTGTTCGGGGCTCAGCCACATGCGTCGTCCGAATTCGCCGATCCGCTGTGGCGTTGCTTGTTGAAATCACCGTCTAGGTACTACTACCTGTACCTAGCGGCCTCATGGGTGTTTTTGGTAAGAGATCTGGGAAGAGAGCGACGCTCGAAAGAGGTCCTATAATGGTTTTGGGCTTCTGGTAAGTCTTATCCGTCGAGGAGAATACCACTGCAGCTCTTGCCAGCGCCTACCTCTTGCCAAATCTGTGATGAAAAGCCCGGCCCGCCTACCTAGTAGGTAGGTACCTAGTAGTACTCGTATGCGCCTCATAAGATACGTGCAAAAGTACTAACGAAATGGCTGTTGCGATATCATGGGATCCATGCCTTCAATATGGTAAGAACATGAAGTAAAGTACATGATCTCTTGATATAATTTCCATCTATCCTAGACGCCAAGTATGCAAATGCACCAGTCCTAATCGTACATTTCAGCCCCTTCAACTGAACTCCTCCCTCTCACTCCACCAACGGCCTGTCATGCTCCCACCACTTGACCGGCCCCAATTTGCTCAGCGGATACACGATATGCGTCACTCTCCCCGTCAGCAGCCTCTTCGAGACGGGTCCGTACGTGTTGCTATCCAGGCTCGACCCCGGCGGTCCGTCCCCCTCTACCCAGACGTGACCCTGCGGTATCCTCACCGTCGAGACGGGATACGGCTTCTTGGTCTTGATGACGTCGCCTTCCAGCGCAACGACTCTCTTGACGGCAACCACCTCTGGATGAAACGGACTCCTACCAAGCATCAAGTCAGTACAGAGCCCAATACCACCATCCCAATGACTTGTCTTCAACAAAACTCCCCATCGTGATACAGCTCTCACGCGCAAGCCTCACTCACCTCAGCGTCACCACCATGCCCCTCTGCAAATCCTCCTGCGGCGCCCACTTGTAGTTGAGCACCACGTCCCTCCGCAGCGACGAGTCCCGGTCCGCATTCATAAACGGATACATCGAGTTGCCGTCCACGACCGTCAGCTCCGCCACGTGCAGGTTGAACCACGCAATCACCGGGATCCAAGTCGCGAAGCCGATGAGGTTGAGGGCCGTTGCGCGGGTGAGGCTGGGGGTGCTGCCTCCTGCTGCGCTACCTCTGAGTCGCGCCCATAGTGAGCTGAGGGCCATGGATTGTTCTCCTAGAAGAAAACAGATTCAAGCTTTTTGGTGATGATGTGAGGCTTTGTTTTGTTTTGTCAAGTCATCAGACGTTCATCTTATACAGTTGTAGCATTCAGAGAAAAAAAAAGAGCCCTGGAGGGCTTGTCAGTGGTGGGGTTAGCTCATTCCACTGTAGAGCCTCAGTGACCTTCTCTGCACGGTATTCAGACTATTAAGATACGCACCTTTTAGGGCGCCAGAGATCACTGCATCTCACATCAATCCAAGGTCATACAACTCTCACACCCGGGAAGGCAAATCATGGAACAAGTTTATGACTTTTTTTTTTTTAATATCATGTGATGCCCTGCGCAAGTTCATACGGGCCCCCGCCAAAGATCTAAAACCCCTCTTCAAGATGCCGATATTGCACGGCTTTTTCAGGTCGCCGTCCCTCACCCGCAAAGACGCCATTACCCACCGCCAAAGCTTCCTAAACCAAATTCTAGGCTCATGCCTCGTTTTAACCCGAGCGTTGACACCCTTTTCCTCTTCCTCAAAGTCTTCCCTTCGAAATCAAGGTCTTGACAGCTTCCGGTACCACGTTCTGGACCGTCGGTTTTTTCTATCGCTTGTTGGCATAGAGTCGAGACGCGTACGCTTAGATCGTCTCGGGGATGTTGTCGTCACTCTCGCTGACGCTCTCGTCGCCGCTGACTTCGGCGTTCTCACGCTCCCTCTTCTCCATCAGAGCCTGCAGCTCGGCGTCGTCGCTCTCGGTAACGGCCTTGGGCTCCATCTTGACGGTAAGGTTGCCGCCGGCGGCCTCGATGCTCGTCCGGATGTCGACAATGGCCTCCTCCAGGCGGGTGATGCCCTGCGCCTTGTCGAGACATGTGCTGGTGAGAACATACAGCGGGGGCGACACGAGTCGGACCTTGACCTGCATGGACTCTGTGTTCTTGGCCTCGGCGGTTCGCAGAGCAGCCTTGACAGCGTCGATGCCCTCGTAGCCGAAGCAAGTGACCTCGACGTCGGCACGGACCTTGGTGGGCTGAGGGGTGAGTCGCTTGCTGATGTACAGCTTCAGCTCGTCCTCGACGACCTGGTTGGGGAACTTGATGTCGTCCCAGACCTCGGGGTTGCTGTTGCAATGTTAGTCTCCTGTTTTGCGTACACCAAAGCATGATGGATAGGATGGCGACCACGTACGTGATGGACAGCTTGAAAGCGTCAATGGCATGGCCGTACTTGCGGTTCAGAGGCCAGGTTATGCTCTCGTATAGAGACTCGATCGGCGTCTGCGTCTTCTCGGCAACGTGTCGCATGATGGAGTGCACCATCTTGCTCTTGTTGTAGCGCTCTTCGCACTTGACGATATCCTCGGGCGAGACTCGTCTTTTTGACAGATCAATGTATCCTGCAGTCCAGTGTGAGCAATCTTGCCACTCCCTCTTCTTCGTTTCGCGGATATCGCTGGTAACCCACCCTTCTCCTTGTCGACACGGAGGACGACCACAACCTCATTGCGCCCGACTCGGATGAGCTTCTGGATACTTCGGATACGTCTTCGGGACAGCTCAGAGAGCAGAATCATGCCGTCGATGTTGTCATACTCCAGCAGCTTGACGTAGGCACCCATCTCGGCGATCTATCCATCAGTTGTGATTGTGTCAGAATCTCTCTCTTCGTTTTTCCAACCCAGTTCTCCCACCCCCTTTGCGACCAGAGTGAAAACCCACCTGCTTGACATTAACCATCACAAAGCTATCGATCTCCGGGTACTTCTCCTCATAAAACCGGCAGTTTGTTAAAGACATCTTGGCGGTATTTCTTCGACGTTTGGTCGGGAAGAATTGAGTGTCGATTGGTGAGTAGGAAGGTGGTTGTGAGGTGGGGGGTTGGTTTTTAAAGGGCCCGAATCGTCCTCGTCGTTCGCTGCTCACGCGAGTGTCAACGTAATCGGTTCGAAGTGGCTAAATCGTGTGGAATCGACGGCCGGAGAAAGAGTCTCGGTACGGGCGAAACTCGTTTGCTGTCGACTCGCAGGATGAGGGAGGGAAGAATTGCGTATAAGCTACGTTTCTAAACGGTTCGAAGTGGGATGAGGAGTCACAATTTTGATGATATTTTGCGCTCGAGCCAGACGTTGGTGGCGGGGTGTGGCTCATCCTAGGCGGTCGATAACGGCAATTTCTAAGCCACAGCCACGATTGCAGCTTATCTTCACGTGATACCCCAAGTAAACAACCAAAGCTTCATGCTTGGGGCAACGGCTGCCATGCATCATCAACCCAAACAATGGCTCCAGGTGCGTAGAATCGCTGCATTTTGTGTGTTTCCAACTGCGATGGCAGTCAAGATATGCTGACAGGCGCTGTAGCAACGCAGTACGAGCTCTCGCCGCCCCCCGGCGACGCGGTATCAGCCATCGCCTTCGCGCCCGTCTCAGGGACGAAGCTCCTCGTCTCGTCATGGGACAAAAAGGTGTACCACTATGACATCTCCAACGGCCCCGAAGCTTCGAGCCTCGTCAACACATACGAGCATCGCGCCCCCGTTCTAGACGTCTGCTTTGGCGCGGACGACAATGAGGCCTTTACCGCGGGCATGGACTGGACGGTCAACCGGTACTTGCGACTCTCATGACCTTACGTACCTTTGGTAGTTTGTTCGACAGCTTGAGCCCGCCCCGCTGACCGTGGATTGAAAATGACAGCCTCAACATTGAGACGGGCGAATTGACCCCTCTGAGCAAGCACACGGCCCCCGTCCGCCGCGTCGTATACAGCAAATCGCACGGCATCCTCGTCTCGGCCTCCTGGGACAGCACCCTCAACCTGCACAACCTCAACGACCCGTCCAGCAACCCCATCACCATCGCCCTGCCCGGAAAGCCGCAGGCCCTCGCCGGCAGCCCGACCAAGATCGTCGTCGCCATGACGGGCCGCATCATCAACATCTACGACGTCAACGCCATTGTCGAGCTCTTCCGCACCGGCGGCACCGACCTCAAGCCCTGGCAGCAGCGCGAGTCGTCCCTCCGATATCTCACCCGCGCGGTCGCCTGCATGCCCAACGACGCGGGCTACGCCACCAGCAGCATCGAGGGCCGCGTCGCCGTCGAGTGGTTTGAGGACACGGCCGAGTCGCAGGCCAGGAAATACGCCTTCAAGTGCCACAGGCAGGCCGCCCCCGATGGCGATGGAGACATTGTCTATCCGGTGAATGCGCTCGCGTTCCACCCCATCCACGGAACGTTTGCGTCGGCCGGCGGCGACGGCACAGTGGCGCTGTGGGATGCAGAGGCCAAGAGGAGGTTAAAGCAGTACCAGAAGTTCCCCAACAACGTCGCCGCCTTGGCGTTTTCGAACGATGGGCGGTACCTGGCTGTTGGCGTGTGTCCAGGTTTTGAGACGGGGCAGAACGACTACAACGGCGCTGGACAGACGTCGGTCTTTATCCGGGAGCTCGGTGAGAACGAGGCAAAGGGCAAAGGCGCCAAATAAGCAAAAAGATGGTCATTTGTACGGAAGCCCAGTCCGAGTCGGCGTTCTGGTAGGATATAAGGAATTTGCATTTGACGACGGCCATGTGATAGTTGACACACAAAGCAGGTAATGTAGATACCCATTAATACAGTGAAATGGCTACCCGCTCTCGTCGCACGTCGTTACGTCTATTGGATTGATCAAGCTTGTTCGGTCATTGAGGGCTCTCAGTAGAAGAGTGTTGGCATTCTTTTTGAGTGAGGCGCTGGTTTCGTCTTTTGTATCCTAAAACAACAACTACCTTGTGCCAAACCCCCCAAGCAACTCGGACGCTCCAGCAACTTGTACGCAGCTATTCAGCCCTCTTCAAGCATTTGACTACTACTAAAGTCACCAGTTTCAAGGCCATCTCGCTCCTCCTTCTTGGCGCTCACCATCCGACGCCGGCACCAGGACCGGCACCAGCATGCATGCTATGATCATAGTAGTTGTTGTGGTTGCTGTGGCGCTTGGGCAGCCATCTCCAGCACGTCGACCGAAAGCGGACGCTCTACTCTCCTATCTTGGTCGGCGCGATGGGCTGCAGGAGAAGAAAAAGGGTCCGTTAGCTCTGCTCCTGGTATCAGATCAGATAGTTCCGAGGATGCATACCTTGGGCTCGGGGATGTATTCATAGTGGGCAGCAGACTCAAGGAGCCAAATCTTCTGCGGCGACGTGCCCGACTTCTTGCCTCCCCAGAGCATGTTGTTGGGGAACCCAATGTCGAACGGATACGCGCTTTCAATCTCCTCGACGTCCTCGTCCGTCAGCTGCAGCGTGAGGGCCTCAATGTTGCCCTTGAGCTGGTCAATGTTGCGCCCGCCGACAATGGGGAAGACGTAGGGCGTCTTCTGCATCACGTATGCCAGCGCGACGCTCGTGAGGGCCGTGTTCCTACGGGCCGCAATCTTCTCGAGCACCTTGCTGACCTGGATGTCGACCTCGGTCGCCTGCACCTTGCGGCCGACCTCCGAGTTGCGCTGCTCCTCCGTCTTGAACTTGCCGCCGCCGAGGGCGCCCCAGGGGGCCAGGGCCATGCCCTCGTCCCGGCACATGGGGATGATGTCGCGCTCAAAGTCGCGCGAGGCGGCGGACCAGCGGCCTTGGTAGACGGAGAACTGGCGGAAGCCGTGGTTGCGGGCGTACTCGTTTGCCTTGCTACAATTCGGTGTCAGTGACCAATTTATACAGAGATATACCATGGCTAAGTAAGAAGCTCTCTGATGGTACGAACCTCACTACCCAGGCGGGAGCGTCGCTGATGCCCAGATACAGCACCTTGCCGGCGACAACAAGGCTGTTGAGGGACTGCATCAGCTCAGGAATGGATGTGGCATAGTCCCACCAGTGCACATAGAGCTATGGGCAGTCAGTATTATATATGGCGATAACCCACGAGGTTTCTTTCACTGGGGCATGTCTCACCAGGTCGATGTAGTCGGTCTGCAGCTTCTGCAGGCTTGCTTCGACAGACGCGTGAAGGCTCTTCGTTCCGTTTCCAGTATAGTTGGCTGCGATGTGAGGACGAGCTGGTCCCAGCTTGTAGCAAGTGGTGTACTTTGTCGCAATCACTGCAGAATCGAAGAGTGGTCAGTTGTTGTGACAAGAGAGGAGGCTACAATGAGACATACCCATCTCATGGCGGTTTCCTCGCTTCTTCATCCAGTCACCAATGATGGCCTCTGATTCCTCGTACTGGTAGTTGTTTGCAGTGTCGATGAAGTTGCCTGTCAACGATGTCAGCGATGCACTTGTCGATACCCCCAATATAGTAAGACAAATAAGACGAACCTCCCTAGGGAATTGTTAGTACTTCGAGATGCCATTACGTGAGAGAGAGTGAAGGAAAGTCTCACCTGCTCGTAGAAAAAGTCCAAGATGGCCTCTGAGGTGGCCTTGTCGCAGTCTCCCATGAAGTCCTTCCTATACGTGTCGTTCAGGCATCAGCAATCACTCTTTTATTGTCCCGTTCAGCACAGATAGACAATATAAGAGGGCTCACCATGCTGAGCCAAAGTTCATGGCACCCAGACACAGCGGGCTGACTCGCACCGAGGCCGTTGGTGAGAGCAAGCGGTAGCGGTTGAGCGGGCTCACGGGAGGAGGAGGGGCGGGAAAGAAGCTCATGGTGGCGGCTGTCGAAATAAGTTCAACGTAATGAGACTTGTGTTTTGTTTTCTGATCTGAGTCTTTGAACGACCGAGTAGCAGCGAGAGTGACTTGGAAGAGGTGATCTAGCAGAGCAGATGAGTAGACGAGAGAGCAAGTTGTGGTAGGTAGGGAAGGGCAGAGGTAATGGGCGAGAGCTGTGTCCTTTATAGCTGCAAAGCAGCAAGAAAGCAGGGGAAGATTCGATAAACATTCAAAATGCCTCGGGTCACATCATGGCGGACTTGTTGCGATGCAAAACAGGCAATCGCACTCCAGAGCTGCAAACGAGCTGTTGAGGCGATCCGAGGCGGTCATCAATATTCGGGCGGGTGCCAATCGCCGAGATACAAGTGCCTTCCGCATGAGGGTACCGTCTAGGCGAACGAAGCATCGACACGCCCAATCAGAGGAGTCGCAGACCAGCGAGATATTGTACCCTGTCTCAATTTTGACGGATATGCTCCGCGGATACCTACTACCTAAGGTAGGAATATACATGTAGATACCTACCTAGTAGTATATTGACGCTCGTTGAAAGGGAGATGCGGTGCGCATCGTGGCACAAATTGGCACCGCCCTCGGCCGAGCTTCTCTTATTTCCATGCGTTTCAGCTGCTTCTAAAGTCCGAATTAGAAATGCAGCTTGTTCGCAATGGGTGTGTTGAGATGGAGACTAGAAGCCGCTATATGCCGGAATATGGTGAGTTATTCGGGTCCCTACGAGCGGGGTTGGCGTGGAGAGGGCTTGTCTCGATGATTCATTGCTGCGATATGGTTGCCATGGATGGGGAGGCCTGGGACCTGAGATGCGACGATGGCTTGGACCGGCGAGTTGGCCGGACATTGTCCTTGGCTTGATATCATCCGGCCCCAACTTTGTGCGGTAGCATTGGGCAAATCGCAGGGATAGATACCCCGCTGTTATTGAAGAGAGTTGTGAGTATGGACAGAGAGGGTTGTCGACTTGATCTGGCTCGTGGACTTGGTGTGAGAGGTAATGGTAGACGTATCCTATTCGTGCTTATAGACTCTTGAGCCGGTTTCTATCACCCAAGTACTACAATATATCTGAAGATCTGAGGCCTGAGTACATGTAGACACGCCAAATCGAGTGCGAAACAGCGCCTATAGAGCCATATCATCTGCCTTCTCTAAAAGCACATATATCGCGATATGACAAGACTTGATATCTCGAATGAGACCATGGTGTGACAAGCAGCGCAACTATGTACATGCCTCATGCGAAACCGGGCCAATCTCCGTGGAAGCCGAGACTGTCACCAGTACTCACACGACAGGGCAGCCCTTGGTGTTCTCAGTCGATGACGACACGCCTTGTAATAAACCATCACAGTTGATGCTAGGGATGAACTGAGCCTGGGTGGAACTTGTTAAGTCCGTTGGAGAAAGCAGCGAGTTGACAGCTGGGAGGCTGCGGCTATAGGAGGTTTTCGAAAGCAAAAGGCTCCGCAGAGAGCCACGGAAAGTCCGCTGGCGGAGACGTACGAGTACGAGTTTGTACTATAAGTGGGTGGTTTGGGATGGCCTGACACAGCTTGTGAAGGGTCCGACTGGTGTTGATGACTTTGCAGATTTCCTAAACTGGAACATTGTCAGTTGGAGAAAATCTATCACAGTTGCTCTGGACAATCGCTTTCCTCTCTTCATCCTTGATGCACGTATGAACCTGAAAAGTGGCATGTGCATGTATTGCTACGGTGGAGGAGTGGGGAGAATGAGATTCTTTGCGGTACCTACTTACCTGGAGCAGCAGATTGCAATCCTTCAGACTCCTCCGTATCAGGCAGCCATTGCGTTCTTGAGTTATGTCTGATGTCCAGAGTCTTTGTATATAGAACAGAGACTATAAACGACCTGTACCTGTAGTTCTCCTAAGCTTTCTTACTGCTTACAGCCAATCCACCTCACAGATCGTCCTGAGCGGTACGTACCGATCCTCCCACCACGATGCCGCTGGCAGTTGCGAGCTGACGGCGGGACCTTCCACTTCCACTGAGGTTGGCGGGGTGCGGTACGTACCTCCCACAGCTCGAATTCTCGCCGGGCGAAGAATAGCCGAAATCTTCTCGCCCATCATGCCATGACCAGAAATCTTACGATAGCTTCCCGTTGATACAGCTTCACAACCGCACTTGCACCAGCCTCGATTGCGCTCAGCCTCGCCCAATCCGCCGACCCCGAAAACATCCAGAGCAGCGTAACGCTGCAGCTATGGGCCGTCGACATGGCCTCCACCCCTCCCGTTCCCTCTAAGGCCGCGCTCAACGCCCTCCGCGGCGTCCTCTTGACGACGTCGTGCTCCGTCGCCTTTCTCGCCGAGGAGCGCCGCCGCAGACTCAAGATTGCTCGTGCGGCGATTGACAATGCGAGGAAGCTGCATACCGTCAAGAGCAACAGGGGCGCCGTCGCGCTGAGCGAGAGCTGGGACGATAGGCTTGCGGATCTTGGAGGCGACGTGCTGTCGCTGCCGGCTGGGTCGCGGCCGAAGAGTTCGTACCGGAAACGACGGCGCGGCAATACTTCGACTTTGCTCGTGGCTGGGGGTGGCTTGGATACGAATGAGGGAGCTTCTTCGTCCGATCAGCATGAATCGGAGAGGGGCGGCACGGCCGGCGTGCAGCAGAGGGATGGCCGGGAGGCGCAGATATCCAACTTTGGGCTGGATGCGGTGAAACTGGTTCTGCCATTGGCCGACACCCGTCTTCCGGACCTCTCCATCATGTCTTTGGCAGCTTCTACGTTGCCCATCTTTCCCCTCAACAACAAGGAGGCCGGCTCTCACAAGGTGGGAAGCGTTGTCGATCCGCGGGTACAGGTCTCTCTACACAAAGACCACGGCTCTGCTACCCGCTCGTCATGTACACGGAGTGCTTCGCGGTCCTTGCATGATCTACCACGGATCGACTCCTCTTCTCTGACCCGGCTATCTCTATCAAACTCGACAATACAAGTCACCGAGATGGACAAGGTTGCAAGGCTTGAACAGTTGATAAAAGAGCTGGAAAGTAGCCAGTCATCTCAGACTCTGACACCCGACATGGTTGATCTGGCCATCGACGAGCTACAGAAGATATCGACACCAAGGCCCGCAGCCCCCGGATTCAGCGGCCTCGTCAGATCGAGTGGGCTGAGGTTGCTGAGGCTCGCAGTTGACTCCGAAGCGACCAAGACGACCAATGTTCTAGCGGCCCTGCTACCACGCTTCAATGATCCTGTCCAAGTTGTATTGCCTTTGACAAAATGGCTATGGGAGAAGAAGGATAAGAAGGAACTTGAGCAAATTTTACAGTTCCTCTCCGGCGGCCAACAATCGCGGTTCTGGATGCAGGGCATGACAATCTACAGAGTTCTGTCTGGTCTCGACGATGTCTTGGGCAGCTTCAAAGACATTAAGCATCTGTATCGCCTGCTCCAAAGTGCTGGCTTGTATCAGCCAATTGCCGTACCTTGCAACATCGAGTTCAAGATACGCCGTCTCATGGTCTCGAAAGCCCTCAAGGCGGGAGACGATGCCTTTGCTCAGGAGGAAATGGGTCATCTCTACAATTTGGATGCAGATGCAGCAAAGGCGGACGTCAAGCTGCAGAGCAGGCTGATCGTACGCGAGGCTGCACTTGGGCATTGGGAAGCCGTTCGAAAGAGCATCGAAGCGCTTGAGGATGCAGGCAATGCGAAGCCAAACGACTTGCGATACATGATTAGCAAGATCACCGACGTATTCGTGCAGACCTGCTCGTCGGAAGGCCTTGAGGCTTTGCTGCGGAGATTTGTGCGCAGCTACAACATTCCTCTGAGGTCGAAATGGGTCAATCTCGTCCTGGACCAGTACGCGAGCCGGCATGATCTGGATTCCATGTTCTCATGGCTGCGGTTCTGCCGCGATGCCGGGTTCAAGATGGACGACTCATTCGTGCAACGCTTTTACGCTGGATGCCGCAAATACTGGAGTTTCTCCAATAAGAACATTACGAGTCTACATCAAACCCTCCAAGAGCTTGCGCCGGCCTCATTGAAGCCTACACCGAGCAAGCCTGCCGGAAACATGGTTCACGATAAGCCGCCGGCTTCGCTCGACCCCCACAACTGGGTGTCTGAGGCGGATGCCTTTGAGTGCATGGAGTGGCTGTCGGCACAGAACGAGTGGGAGCGTGTCTGTGAGGCGTACGGCCGCTTGCTATCCAGCGGATTGAGCATTTCGGTGCGCTGCCTTCGCCTGGCAGTGTTGGGACACCTGAGACGGCCCAATGGAAGCATCGACGCAGCGGCAGCACTCATTGACGACGCCCGCGGAAGAGGCTACGACGTGACGGAAGCGTTGACGCCGCTTTTACTGGCAAGGCTGGAGAACGGAGACGATGCCGGCGAGCTGATCAAGCAGGCTCTACGCCGGGGCAGCCGGGTTCACGACAGCGTCTACAACAAGGCGGCGCAGATGCTCTCGGCCAAGGGCGACCTGCGAGGGGCCGCGGCCATGTGCGAGGTGGCGGCAAGGGAAAACGGCAACGGAGAGCTCCTGTACAGCGAGTACAACTTTTCGAACCTGGTGTTTGCGTACACGGGCTCCGCCAGCTACGGCGCGCTGAAGTCGATCCTGACCAAGTTCACGTCGGAAGTGCAGTGGTGGCGCGGCAGCCGGGCGTGCAAGGAGAGCATCAAGCTGGCGATGAAGACGACGGCGATGCGGGCGGTGGTGGATGCCCGCGATAAGAACGACCATCGGGATGCCCTGTTCAAGCTGGACGAGGCGCTGATTCACGTCAAGAAATGCCGCTCCACTAGGGAGGATCGACGAGCGGTGACGGAGGCGTTTATACGCGTGGTCCGACCTGCGGTTGCGGAGGCCGAGCAGCAGCAGCAGCAGCAGGATCCCGCCGCGGATGGGCGCAGGGCGAATCTGGCCATCAATACGGGGGACGAGCCGCTGCTGGAGATGGCAGAGGCGAAACCCTTTCAGAGATCGGTCATGGGGGTTCGGCAGGGATTGGCGGCTGCTGGAGAAGCGTGAGTGGCGAGGCAGCTTGGGCATGTATATATGTATGTATGTATGTATATGGTGTAGACATCATGGGTTGGACAACATCTGTACTACAACTGTGTCGTAGTAGTATGTATGGATAGGCATTACAAATGAGACACAGTCAAAACATGCATCCTAGATTACCCGAGGCACCCTTGTGGTTATTGTGGTGAATCGGTTTCATGCTTCTGTCTGCTCCTCCGAGGTCTTCCGTCAGGAACACGGACCCTCGGCCAGCATTCAGACCCCCAACCTTTTGGCGACATTCCCATGGGGGAGATGCGAACTAGTTCCTGGGTGAGGATAAACGGCAGCTCATTGGCCCAGTTTGAGCCAGAGCGCAGACGACGGCGAACAAGGGGCACATGTCAGATACTAATACTACACCCAGAGCAACAACGAACAAGTTGTAGTGGTAGTACATAGGGTAGTAGTAGTAATAAACCATCGCATGCATGTATGTATGTATGTATGTATGTATGTGGTGTGTGTCCGATCCCGCATGAAGCCCGTTACCGGCACGGCCAAAAAAAAAAGGGCGGGTTCCTGGAGAAAAAGTCTACGATTGGTCGGGCTGGACGGGCGAAACGCAATTGAATCTTCAAATTCGGGCGGCGGGTTGGCGCGGAGCCAATCAGCGTGGCTTGCTGTCACTGATTGGGAATTCTGTGATAGAAATGGGCATATTGAGCATGATCTTGGCTTTCATGTTGTATTAATACTAGCCTAGGCTTGAGGTAAGGGAGGGAGGGAGGGGGGTGTGTGTGTGTTGGATCATCATCATCTTTTGGGTGTGTGGTTTCGGTTGATCTTAGACGTCTTTTTACTACCATGTACTATGTAGAGTGCTGGGAGTTGCTCCGGCGTCGGTGAGTCGCCCATATCTCGCTACTAGTATGTTTGTTACTGCTAGGAATTCCATTATCAATGCGCTTTACTTTGGGGTTTGTTCTAATTCAGGTGTGGTGTGGCTTTCGATTGATAGGCGTGATTGGGCGTTTTTTGAGTCAGCCGCGTTAGTGATTGAATCTGACGCCAGCCATTTGAAGGGAATAATCACCCACTCAGTCACTCGCTCGCTCGCTTTCAATCAACTCGGGCTCTCATTCCAGCGGTTGATGACAATCATCATACGGATACATGAGGCGGCAATTGTTCGGTCTTTTCTAGACGTGGGGTTGGTTGTTCTTCCCTTGAACAGCCAGCTCTACTATTACAGTAATATTATCCGGAGAGCGAAGCCGGCCGAGTTCGGTCTCCGGCCAATTGGGGCGTTATCTCTCGCCGAAGACTTGATAATACCCGTTGGACTACATACTATTATGACAGTACCTTATTCGCCTACCTACAAACTAAACTGTCTTATGTCACTCGATTGCTTTACATACTACTATGGTGTTTGCCTGATGATCCATCCCATCCCATCCCATCCCATCCCATCCCATCCCACGCCCAATCTAATCTAATCGAGAGCGATCTTCGGAGCGCCCAGCACTTTGGGAGACACGGGTGTGGCTTGAGGTCTTTTTTTCTTGGGTGTTTGACTTGGCGTGTCTTTTTTGCGAGACGGGAGGGTGGGAGGGACGGAGGAGGAGGAGGAGGAGGAGGAGGCGTAACGTGGCATGGCTTTTTGATGCTTGCTGTTATCTCTGGCCTTTGCTGTGTTAGTAGATCGCTTTCTTGGCTACAGAGTTTGGGCCCTGGTGGCGGGTTAGTTGTCAAGCTCGGGAAGAGCAGGATGGCGGTTGGTGGATGAATGGATGAATGGATGGATGGATGGAGGAGGGAGGGAGGAGGCAGGGTTGGCCTTTGCGAGTAGGTATATAGAGGAGGCTGATTCCCTCGCTGCTGTCGAATCCGTTTTCCTCCTGGTCCTTCTTTCTCAATCATTGTTTGTCGTTGTTTGTGATAGACGTGTTGCACTCGGATCTCATATATAGGTACACTTGTTCATCGATATACACTTTGTTTTGTCACTTTGAGGCAGTCAAGCACGCGACGACACCAACCTCGACAACAACCACCACCACCAACACCATCAAGACCATCACCAACCAAACAAACCTTCGCCATGTCTCACCTCCCTTCCGAGCCTGAATTCGAGCAGGCCTACAAGGGTCCGTTTTTTCCCTCTCCTTCTTATCAACAAAACCCATCACATACAAACTCGAACATTTCGGAAAAAAGAAAAAAAAAAAAAAAAACTAACAAAACGTCTTGCTGCACAGAGCTGGCCAGCACCCTCGAGAACAGCAGCCTCTTCGAGGAACACCCCGAGTACCGCACCGCTCTGGCCGTCTGCTCCATCCCCGAGCGAGTCCTGCAGTTCCGCGTCACCTGGGAGGACGACAAGGGCCAGCTGCGCGTCAACCGCGGCTACCGCGTGCAGTTCAACTCTGCGCTGGGCCCCTACAAGGGCGGTCTCCGGTTCCATCCCACCGTCAACCTGTCCATGTACGTTTTGTTTTCGAACCTTGCTTGTTTTGTTCTCAGTACGAGGAGTTGTTGGTTCCCAATGAGCTGACCATGGGGGGTGGGTTGTGTGTAATATAGTCTCAAGTTTTTGGGCTTTGAGCAAATCTTCAAGAATGCCCTGACTGGCCGTAAGTCTTCCCCCTTGGACCATCGCATCCCTAACTTTTGCGTCAAGAGAGACAGATTACTCTGCTCCCCAAGAGAAAAGAGATGATGATACAGAGAGCTAACCAGGACATATACAAAAACAGTCAGCATGGGTGGTGGCAAGGGCGGCGCCGACTTCGACCCCAAGGGCAAGTCGGACAACGAGATCCGGCGCTTCTGCCAGGCCTTTATGCGCGAGCTGTCGCGCCACATTGGCGCCGACACGGACGTGCCCGCCGGCGACATTGGCGTCTCGGGCCGCGAGATTGGATACATGTTTGGCGCGTACCGGCAGGCGAGGAACAAGTTTGAGGGCGTCCTGACGGGCAAGGGCCTGAGCTGGGCCGGCAGTCTGATTCGACCTGGTGAGTTAATGTTGAAGAAGATGATGATGTTGAAGAAGAAGAAGAAGATGATGATGATGAAGATGAAGATGAAGATTGATAGAGGCTAACATCAACAACAGAGGCCACTGGCTACGGCCTCGTCTACTACGTCGAGCACATGCTCCAGCACGCCGGCCACGGCTCCTTCGCCGGCAAGCGCGTCGCCATCTCGGGCTCGGGCAACGTCGCCCAGTACGCGGCCCTCAAGTGCATCGAGCTCGGCGCCACCGTCGTGTCGCTGTCCGACTCCAACGGGGCGCTCGTCGCGCCCGAGGGCTCGTCCTTCCAGCCGCAGCACGTCCACGCCATCGCGGCCCTCAAGGCCGAGCGCAAGCCCCTGACGGACTTTGCCTACGGCGACCAGTTCAAGTACTTCCACGGCGCGCGGCCCTGGATCCACGTCGGCAAGGTGGACGTTGCGCTGCCGTCGGCGACGCAGAACGAGGTCAGCCTCGCCGAGGCCGAGGCGCTCGTCGCCGGCGGCGTGCTCGTCGTCGCCGAGGGCTCCAACATGGGCTGCACCCAGGAGGCCATTGACCTCTTTGAGGCGCAGCGCAAGGAAAAGGGCAAGGCGGCTGCTGTGTGGTATGCGCCCGGCAAGGCGGCCAACTGCGGCGGTGTCGCCGTGTCGGGACTGGAGATGGCGCAGAACAGCCAGCGGCTTGCGTGGACGGAGAAGGAGGTGGATGACAAGCTCAAGGATATCATGAAGAATGCGTTTGATGCCGGGCTGGAGACGGCCACCAAGTATGTGCCTAGCAAGGAGGGCGAGCTGCCGAGTCTGGTGGCCGGAAGCAACATTGCGGGCTTTGTCAAGGTTGCTGAGGCGATGCGCGACCAGGGTGACTGGTGGGCTTGAGTTTGCTTTTTTTCTTTCTATTTGGCTGATTTCTGAGGGGTGTTTTCTTTTTGTTTGGGATATGAAAATGTTTGGCGTTTTGGGATGGGTGTATGGGAGGTGTCTGTTTTCTTTTGATATCATGTACAGCGAGTAGTGGTAGAGACGTCCAATGGCTCTTAGATTGTTAGACAAATATGATATCCATGATATGATACCTTGACTGGAAAAGATGTGCATGAGACTTTCGTAAATCTCCAAGAACACAAGTGATAATATGCCCCATGATACAAGGATAACAGCCGCATCATGTCTTTGGTAGTCAAAGATCTAAATGATGTGATTATCGCAACTTCCTGAGTGTTCCAGACCAATCTACTGGGTATATCTCAACGTCAACTACAACATAACCAAGCCACAATTACACCAAACCAAGCTCAACAGATCCAGCATGCCAAAAATCACCTTCACTCCTCATCAGCCGACTCTCCCGCCATCAGCTGCTCCTTGATCCGCCGACTCGGCAGCCACCTCTCCTCCGGAATCAACCACCACGACAAGACGGCGAAGACCGTCACCGCCCCCATAATCACCGGCGCGTAGTTGAGCGTCTCGCCCGACACGGGAAACACATACGGCGAGAAGAGCACCGCGACGACCCACCCGTTCCACAGCACCGACACCGCCTGGAAGGGCTTGCTCCAGCGGCCGAGGCTCCACGCCGGCTTGGGGAACGTCTTGGGCGTGAGCAGCAGGCGGCCCAGGCAGATGAGCCCGTACGCGGCCGCCGAGGGCACGCCCGCGGCGGAGACGAGCGACGTAAAGGCCACCGACGACGGCAGGATCGTGCAGGTGATGAGGGATGCGACGGCCCAGACGACGATGACGGCGTTGCGCGGCTGTCCGTCGGAGACGCGCGAGACCCACGACGACCAGGGCAGGACGCCGTCGCGGGCCACGGCGAAGACGAGGCGCGAGGCGGCCAGGATGGCGATGGCGGTGTTCTGGGTTTGCCCCGTGTGTGAGTATTACATGGACTTGGGGACGGACAAAAAGGGGGGGCGTGTTAAGAGGAGAGCAAAACTCACAAACCACAGGGCCACGATGCAGATGACGTTCATTACAATGTGGCCGCCCTTGCCGAGGAGCACGGCATACAGGGGCACGAATGGCTGGACGCTGCCATACGAGAATAAGGTGTCTGGATCAGGCTTTTTTTTTTTTGGAAAAGTGTCAGATGCTTCTTCCCAAGGTCATCATCGAATTTAGGGGGGATTACTGTGTAGAACTCACAGTGCAAAAGAGAAACAGAATGACAACGGCAAAACCCCCCAGCCCGCTCACGACGGTGCTCCAGAAGATGCCCCGGGCCGCGGACACGCTGGCGTTGCGCGTCTCCTCGGCGACGTGGCCCGAGGCGTCGTAGCCGATGAGGATGCCGGCCGTGGCCAGGTACGACAGGCACCAGTTCCAGCCGGGCGACGCGCCGGTGCCGTTGTACGTCGTCATGAAGGCCTCGTGGGCGGTGCGGAAGCCGAGCGTGTGGGCGGTGCCGATGGGCAGCCAGATCATGTTGAGGACGAAGTCGAGGAGGACGAAGCCGGTGGACAGGTAAAAGATCCATTTGAAGTATTTGGCTGGCCGGGAGGTGTTAGTCGTTGTTTGAAGAGAGATTTTTGGAATGATTTCAAAGGAGACGACGCATGAGAAAGAATAGAAGAGGACTCACGAGACAGCAGGTTCCATATCGCAGCCAGAGCGAGGAGAACTTCGGTGCAAATCCACTGGACGGCGCGGAACTTGACGCTGGACGGATCCGAGGGAAAGTCAATGTTGAAGACGACAATTTCCTGTCAGACACGGGGTCAGCATCCATATACCTACTCACCCTTCCTCGTTGTATCTCATGAGCCCAAACTATGCCTTGAGGGAGCAAGTAACATACCGACAGCATATAGTTGACAGCGCCCTGCGTGTTGCCTGTAGAGTTGAAGATCCCTCCCAGTCAGCTGCTCTCGCTCCCCTCAACTCTCTCGAGTCTGTCCAAGTGATTCATGCAAACCTACTGGCACAGAAAGTCGTCCAGGCCGTGGTGCTCCACCACGCCACGACATATCCAAACAGCCGTCCCCATCGCGGTCCGCCGGCCTCGGCCGCCCAGAGGTAGATGGACCCGGCCAGGGGCAGCGATGAGCAGATTTCGGCAATGACGGCGGCGCTGATGAAGCTGAAGACGCACGTCACGATGAAGCTCGTCCTGCCATTGGAATACTGTGTAAGCTTGTGTGTGTGTGTGTATGTGTGTGTTTTATTTTCATAGCATCACGAGGTTGTTGTTGTGGGAGAGAGGGGATGAGCTCACCAGTAGGCGAGGTTGCCGCCGGCCGCGATGCCGGTTGAAAAGGTGACGCGGACGCCGCCGATGAAGTAGAGGGCGGCTGTGTTCTTGTCAGCTTTCATTCATTTTATCCTTCATCATTCTTCTTTTTTTCGCCATTTGAACCGTGAAAGACGGAGACAAACTCACCGAACGTGGTTGAAAAGTTGTGAAACAGATTAAACGTCCTATGGAGCACCTGCAACAAGACAAGACGAAAAAATCACCATGAGAATCAGGCTGGCCAATTCAGGTTGAGAAGAGCCCCCATAGAATCAAACATACAGGTTTATAGCCGAGTTTTGTCTGTTTTGGCGCAAGCAATGTCAGCACCACATTCTTGCGCGTTTGTGCTCTAATTAATCGAGAGCGTCTCTTTAACGTACCAAGACGCGATTGTCTGCAGATTCTTCCACGACAGGCTCGACATCGTGCGCTTTGACGTCGGCGGGCGGCGGCGCATCGCTTGCGGCGGGAGGTGCCTCTTCAATCATGTTTCTCTGAATATCTCCTCTCGTTGCCAATGAATTCACTCTATTTCTTTTTGTCGAAACAATTTCCCTCTGCCGTAACTGGTGAAGACACAGAATAAGAAGAAAAGAACAGTCGTAGTCCTATTGCAATCGAGACTCAAAGGTTGGTCGCTGGCCTGCCGTCCACTAAGGAGAAAATTCCAACTGAAGAGAAAAATTGATGGAGAAAATAGCTCGTCATGTATACTCTCATCTTAGCGAGTGACATAACGTACGATCGCACAGCTCGCAATCAGCCAGCCTTGCCTCTCAACCTTGTTAGACTTGTCACTACTACCACCTTATCCCACGTGGATCGGCAATAATAACGTTCGATCATCATCGTTGCCGTTTGTACATACTACTAGGTACCCGGTACCTACATACGACGGCTTCAACGAGTGGTACTGCCTTACTCTAGGTACTGATAATTGACCAAAGCGTCTGTCTTGAGATTTGACCGTCTTTTTTCTCTCATTAATTTTGTAAATAACATTGAAGTATGAAAGCAATCCCTCGTTTTGCTGCTCTGCTTAGTCTGGATGATAAGTGCTCTGAATTGACTTTGTCTAGCGAGGTTGGCGCTTACACTGATTTGCATGCATCTTTTCCGTCATCCAATAGTCACGGCCGCAACCGTTTTACAAATGCGCCACAAATGAAAGGAATCTCAATTCTTCTTTTGCTGCGGAACAATGCTCGAATAAGTGTTTTGCGTCACTCTTGGTGAGCATTAAGCATCACGCTCACATTTTGCTGGGTTCAAGTGCAGAGCTATAGGGTAGTAGTTCTATGCTAGGTACACATGCAGCAAGATGAGACAGTATATCACTCAATAGAGGTACCTATAGATGGTAGACAGGTTGATGTATCAAACAGTGGATATCGGCTTGTCTATTTTGTTTCTCTTGAGAGTTGTATTGGTCTCAATCATCAATAGCTATAAACTCCTCTGCAGTTTGCTCAATGTAGCATATTTTCGCATGCCCAAAGTCTCAACTCGACGGCGTCTTCCCCGGCATCAACACCAGCCAAAGCGTCTGCGTCTTCAACTGCAGCATCGAACCCTCGTCAACCTCGAGCGCGGCAACATGCGGCTCCAGCGCCCTCATCTGGCTCGCGGCATCGCTCTCCTTGCTCTCCCACGCCAGGCTCAGCATGCTCTCCAGCGGCAAGCCCAGGTAGTGCGCCAGGCCGGCCGAGTCAAACAGGTGGGCGTGCAGGCCGCGCATGTGCAGCCACTCGTCGTTGGCCACGGCCGCGTACGTCGCCGCCCTCTCCTGCGGCGTCCGCGGCTTCTTGGTCACGGCGCCAATGGCCTGCCCCGGCAGCGACAGCGACGTGCCCACGATGCCCAGCGCCGTCGAGATGGGCAGCGAGATGGAGCCGCCGATGAGGCCCGCGGCGGCCCCGAGCAGGTTGCCGCGCTTGGCGTTGTCGGCCACGTTCTTGCCAATCGACTTTGCGTGGGCCGCGACGTTTTTGCCCAGGTTCTTGGGCGCTTGCGTGATGTGCGCGGCCATGTCGGTGGCGTGCGACAGCGCCCGGTCGGACACCGTCGCCGACAGGAAGGCCGAGATGGTGGCCAGGAAGGACTGCCACGTCTCCTTGGTGATGCCGTAGCTGAGCAGCACGGGGGCATAGGCCGGGAGGAACGGCGAGGTCGGGTCCGGCTTGATCTGGGGGAAGACAATCGGCCGGACAGACGCAGAGCTGCCGCCGCTGCTGCCGCTGGCGGCGTCGTAGTAGAGAGGCGGAGCTGCAGAGGCGTCTTTGTCTTTGCCCTGGCCATCGGTAGGGAAGTTGAAGGGCGAGGTGACGGTCGGGACCAGGGCGGGTGGCTGCGGCGTGGAAGCTGATGCCGAGCGAGATGCGGACGGCTCCGAGTGCGATTCCTGGTATGCCGGCACCGGATCAAAGGGTATCACCTCCTGCGGCATGTCTGCCGATGCGTGAGCCTCAGCCAAGGCCCTTCTCTCCTCTTCTGCCTCCTGTTGCTTTGACCTGCTGCCGCTGCCGTTGTCCATGGCTGCTTGATCCGAAGGGGGTGTGTAGAGCTGTCAACGGCGAGTGTCGTCTTTCGGATTGTTTGTTTGTTTGGTTGTTGATAGCCTGAGCCTGATATTCGGTGTGTAGGTCAACTGAAGTTTTGATGCTGATCCGTAGTCGATGGTGTTTCTCCTCAGACGCAATGTAATGGCGACGAGCTCAAGTTTTTATCATCAACTCGAATGAACCTCGACTCGATGCTTGCGAAGCTTGGTTTCTCTTTCACTGCGCCTCCGTTTTTCTCCTGATCCCCTGCATTGACCATCATGCACGACTCGAAGCGAAGGATCAAGATGCGTGGGCAATTGGTCTCTCCTTGAAAGGCTCCTCAATGCTTGCGAAATGCTTGCGAGTGCTGCCTATTCTGGTTCTGGGTAGCGGCTGATGTGGCGCGGCACGACTGGAGACGGTGCTGACGACGAGCGAGTGGCTGAAACTGAGGGACGCAGCCTAAGCGTTCGTCATCCTTCATCTTGTTGTTTGAGGGAGCATGAACCTTCTCATTTCCCACGATGACGACGATGATGGTTTTCAGTGAAAGGCCGCGTAGGTAGATCTCATCGTCGATAGCAGCTTTTCACTCGTACCTCGTGTGCAGGTGGTCGGACTTGCCAAGTACAAGTACATACATGTACTGTACCTGTACGTGTATGCACTGCGACAGCCGTCCCTTCAGGCCCTATCGGTGGACCCTCTCTACTGTAGAGCCCCCTTTCGGCATTCGCAGCGCTCCGGCTCGCCCCCGCCATTGGCTCAACTCCGGGAGTCAGCGCCCCCACAGCCGTCATGCCCGGTACATGTAGCTGTACTTGCGCTGCCGTAAGACGTGTAATCCAACCATCGTGAAACCATCCATCCCAACTTCAACCTCCCCTGGACCTGACCCCGAGCTTGCCCGCCCGCTTTCACAAACCGCCTCGTCATCGTGACTGGCCAGCTTGCATTGCGTCTTCATCAAGCTGCCCCGGCGTCTTCTCTTTGTTAGTCAGTTCTGTCATTGTACGACATTCCATCGCCCTGCTGGGAGGTATCAGCAACCATCCCACCCAGATCACAGGCCGGCCAGGACGACGACCAGCTGCCGCACATTCTCCGTACCGACGTGCCTGGCTTAGGAGCGCACAAGAGGCCGAGCAGTCCATCAACAATTGCAGCAACCTGCGCAACAAGATGCTGCATCGGCCGCTTCTCACATCCATCCCCACCTCCACCTCCACCTCCCGGCCGCCAGCCCTACAGCCAGCCCAGCCGCCCTCTGGCTCCTTGCCCCCCCATCATCATGATCACAGCCATGGCCTGAGATCCTCCTCATCCGCACCCGTCCGCCCACCGGCCATGAAGCTGCAGTTCATCAACACGGCGCATCCTCGCGACTCCACCTCGGCCAAGCGCATCAGCCAGATCCGGTCACATGTGGCCAAGGACTCCCACGCCCGCCGCCGCCAGCGAAGGGCAGCCAACGGCAGCAACAGAAGTAGCAGCGCCTGTGCCTGTGCCTGTGCCTGTTCCTGTTCCTGTGTCTGTCCCACAGCCTCGTCTACCGCTGCTCATGCACCTGCAGCCGCTCCTACAGAGTCTCCCGCCCGGTCCGAGTCGCCCGACTCCACCTCTGCAGGTACCAGCTCTATCAATGCGACGTCACGGCTCCTGACGTCCTCGTCATCTCCAGCTGCAGGGTCATGCGCCACCACTAGCAGCACCACCTCTGCAGAGGACGAGGACTGCCCGGGCTTTCGGAAAATAGCCCCCAAGACCAGAGCCGTGGTGCGGACCGCGGATCTGCCTCATCCCAGGAAGTTGATTGGTGATACAAAGACGGATGGCTGGTCATTTGCGTGGGAGCTGTCGCCTGACGAGTGCAAGACCTTTGATTTCTGTAAGTTTGGTTCCTTTCTGCTGCTTACTCTTCATGTCACTTCTCTCCCCTTGTCTCCCTATGCAGATCCCAGATCGGATCTCAAAGTGCCTATATTGCAGATCTGCCGTGGTGCATGTGGAGCACATGAGATGTTACCCGATCTGCCGTTTCCTACTCCTACTCCTTTAGTCACTCTACTACATACTGTGAGAGGCATCAGTCTCGGTATCAGTGGCAGTATAAGCAAGGAGTTGGCTGCGGCTACTCGCACCCTGTCATATACTGTCCCTCACCAGAAACAGAGACGCAACGACTGACCTCTCTTCCCCTTCAAGTCCTAGACTGGGTCCTCACGTACGGCTACGAAATCTGCTTCCCCCGCGACGAGGTTCCCCGTGTCATGAGTCGCATGAGGACAACCTATGTCCCCTTTGCCATCAAGCATCCATGTCTCCTCGCCTGCATCTTTTACATCTCCTACCACCGCCGCTATCTCAACACGGACGATCCTGGAGAGGCAGCTCGATGCCACCTCCTCATGCAGCACTACCGGCTCGCCTGCATAGAGATGATGAAGAGCGCGCTTGCGGTGGAGGAGAAGCCCTCGGCGCAAACGATTACGCTGGCCATGCAGCTGTGCTCGGAAGCGGTAAGCCATCAATACTATGTCCGCTGTCGTTGTTCCATTACTTTCTCATTGTCTCAAAAGATTATTGGTCGTATGATGAATAATGCTTGTTTTGTGGTTATATGCTAATGCGACGGGGGTTCATGGCAGTTCTTTGAGGGAAACCCAGACGTCTCCTTTACGCACGCCTACGCTGCCAGGACCATGGTGTCCGCTAGAGGAGGCCTCGAGAGCTTCGACCGGGCCGGGGTCGATGCCCTCATTTCCTTTCTGCTGGCAACATCCGTGTATAGCGGAAACTACTGGTTCGTTCCCGGCTGTGCCAAGTTCAACGATGAATGACGTATCACAAAAAGCGGATGATGAAGTATTACAAAATGTGAATGGAGTTCTGAATATGCACATGAGAAAGGTTTACAAACTATCGAGTAAGTATCGGTTTCTGTACTAGTATGGCGTTCTGTTTCTATTGTATATACGGGTTGCCATACATATGGGTTTTAATGCGTCATGTCGCTCATCTTGTGCTCTCATCAGCCATGTCCAATTTTTTTTTTTTTTGGAAATCCAGGAAAAAAAAAAAAAAAAAAAAACTCTAATAAAGGGGTTCCATGAAAAAGGTGTCAAATCATGCTCAGAATCTCTCCCGACTCGTATCCCCACTCCGCTTCGAGGTCTTTCAACCGCCATATCGCGCCCCATCCCGTCGTCCGGTCGATAATCTTAAAGATGCGCGCCACCTCGAGGTGCTCCCTCGGATGCGTCAGCAGCCTGCCGGCGACGTACAGGGGCTGAATCGCGTTGATGAGGTTGCCGCGGTGCGGGTTCGTCCACGAGATGCCGCAGACCCTCTGGGCGTGCCAGATGGCCGAGTACTCGAGCGTGTTGGGCAGCGGCTCGCCGGGGGGCCGCATCTCGAGCATGATGATGCAGGCCGTGTGGTACATCTGGTTGCTCGAGATGGCGGCCCAATGGGCGTAGAGGATGATGGGGAAGATTTGGTTGTCGCCGGCCTCGGTCGTCATGATGGGCAGCAGGCACCTGGGCCGGGTGTCGCGCCAAAACTGTAGCTCGGACCAGAGGCGGCGCCAGCGCTCGGCAAAGGGGCGGTCGTCGGCGTCGTCGGGCTCGCCCAGCTCGACGAGGCGGACCCGGCGGTGCATCAGGTGGCAGGCCTTGGCGCACAGGTAGACGGCCCAGTTGGCGTGCATGTCGGGCGTCTCGCGGCCCTTTTGGTAGAAGATGCTCTTGACAAAGTCCTCGGCGCGGGCGGGCCCGGCGCCGAAGCCGTCGGGCACGGGCGGCACCCACTTGTCGAGGGTCAGGACGGTGCTCTCGGCGCCGCCCGAGATGATGGCGCCGCAGAGCTCCATGCGGGCGTAGCACCAGAAGACGGCCTGCAGCAGGCCGCCCGAGAAGCCGGTGACCTCGTAGAAGGCGAAGAGCGCGGCGCAGCCCTCGATGTGGCGCCGCCAGTTGCGCGGGCTGCCCGACATGAGCTCCAGCACCGCCAGGATGCACGCCGTGACGAGCATGTTGGGGTCCTTGGCCTGCAGGCCCGGCGCCAGCAGCCGGATGCTCTCCTGGTACAGCTCGAGGCTGTCGTGGCTGCTGTCCAGGCAGGCCTTGCGCTCCATCTGCCGCGCGGAGAAGGCGAGCACCGCGTAGAAGAGGCCCGGCGAGCTCTGTGCCATGAGGGGCACCTGGATGCCGAAGTGGCGCGCCTCGTCGAACTTGTCGAGGTACGGCGAGCACTCGGTGACCCAGTTCTTGAGGTACTTGACGAGCCTCATCTTGGGAATGGACACCCGCGAGAAGTCGAGGCTCTTGGACGACGGGACTGACGAGGAAGGCGACCGCTCATGGTCTGCTGCTGCTGCGTCGTCCTCGTTGACGGTGGCGGGCTCGGGAGATGCACTCTTGCTCGGGGCAAGGCTGGTGGTGACTCCGGCGAAGAGCAGGCCTCGCAGCTCCTCCTGAAGCTCGATATACCGAGGATTCGCGGCGTACTCATCAAAGGGGGAGAGCGAGGTCGGGGACATGAAGGCGTCCCCGTCCACATGGTTGGCCATGGCATCATCCATTGCCAGAGGCCATGGGGAAAGATGGCAGCACCCGAGTCTCTCTCTCTCTCTCTCTCTCTCCCTCCTCTCTCTGTCGTTCTTTCGGTTCAGCTTTGCTTCCCCTCCGAGGCTCGGTTCCCTGCCGGCCTCCTTCTGGCCTGATATCAAGGGATTCCTGGCGTGACTCTGCGTGCTAGTGATTAGAATAGTCTTGGTACTTTTTGTCCTTGCTGGTCAGGTGTTGAGTCTGCCGAAGGGGAGATGAGTGATGGAGGGGGGGAGAGAGCCGAGAAGCCGTTCTAGCACTAGACCAGTACGTCAACTACCCGACTAGCGTTTCGCATCATGATGATAATAGATGAATAAAACAGGAAAAGACAACAACAATGCTCATGGACAAACCCAATCCATCATGACGAGCAGGAGAAAAAAAAAAAAACCTTTCGGCTCTCCACGTGGGGAAATTTGGGGAAAAGTCGGGGGACCGAAGAGTTGGATATGTTCGATGCATGGAGGCGCTTTGTTTCCCCTCCGCAAGTTCGCGGGGCGGGACTTGGGAGCATCTGGCCAATGGGCAGCAGACGTCGTCAAGAGTTGGTGTAGCAGAGGCAGCTAGTCGATGGAGCAGGACGGATAGAAAAGGCCCGTATTTCTCGGTGGCGGTTGATGGACCGATGCATTTCGACGTTTCCTGCGAGTCAGTCTGGGGTTTTGCTGAGGTGGTGTTGAGCATAGGCTACGCTGCCTGATTGGGAACAGCTTCAGGTTATTGCTGTTCCCCTTTAGCCGCCTGTGGAGGGAATGACTACTGTGAATGGACTAGTAATTGTAGATGCATTCGGCAGATTAACTGCTGCTATACAGACCAAAGACTACACTCTGGACTTCTATTGCTCCTTACTTGATCTTGGCAAAGGTTCCTCTCCGTAAGCTCCCCATCGAACTGAGGACATAGCATAGGTACCTGCTAAAGAACTCTTACAGATGACCTAACTCCCATTTGCGCACCTGTACCTATTGCCTGTACCTATAGAACCTGGACAATAGCCAAGTTGGCGCTGGAATGGTATCACCTAGCCGCTCCCCTTCAGTGCCACAAAGCCGCTGAGACTTAGACCCGGGCAACACCCGAGTAGCACCTACAGCCAATCGGCTTCCAGCTCGGCACTCGCAACCCCGGCGCCGCTATGCCCAAAACAGGGGTCGGAGCCTACACCACCTTGATGCCTCCAACTTTGCTCTCAAAATCTCACAGGCTCAACCACTCCAGAAACACGCGAGTGTCCACCCCCGATCCTCAGCACGTCTCCACCGCCGCCGGAACATGATTCGTATGGGGCTCCAGGTTTTTGTTCTGTTGCGACTGCGAGGGTTGGCAGCTCAAAGGCTGGAAAACATGGGGTAATGGACAGGGTGGGAAAGAAAAAAAACCTGGAGTACGGGGGACACGCGATGATGGACTGGCATTTAAAATCCTGGGGTTCGCCCCCCCCCATTTGTCCCTGACATCTGATCCCAAGCAAGGCGATTGCTGTTCTTCACCAGCCCAGTCTTCCTCGCCCAGCACAAGGTCCTCACACAAAGAAAAGGGCAGCCGACACAGCGTGATCCTGTCGACTCTCTTCCCGCACCGGCACAATGTCCACTGGATCGACGGATATCGAGATTGCTCCCAGCGGCGCCGCTGCCGTGGAGCCGGCACGCCGTGTCCACGAGGCCCAGAAGACCATGTGGCAGTCGCTGCGGAACAATCCCAAGGTCCTCTTTATTGCCTTCTTTGCCTCGTGAGTATCACATCCGCTGTTGCAAGTCAGCAGCTCGCTTTGTATACACCTGTGCTAACCCGTTGCTTGCAGCCTGGGCGGTTTTGAGTAAGTACTATACCACTACAGCGCCTTATCGAGTGCATCATAGCACTTGTACTTACTATTCATCTAGGTATGGCTATCAGCAGGGTGTCCTGGGCCAGTCCCTGGTCATGACTCGCTTCAAGGACAACTTCCCTGCCGTCGTCAACTCGTCTTCGGCCACCGGCTGGCTGACGTCCGTCCTCCAGCTGGGCGGCATTGTCGGCTCGCTGTCCGCCGGTGTCCTGGGCGAGATCATCTCCCGCAAGTACACCATGTTCATCGCCTGTATCTGGGTCATCCTCGGCAGCTACCTCTACGTCGGAGCCCACGAGGGCATGTCTTCGCTTCTGTACGCCGGCCGCTTCTTTACCGGTCTCGGTGTCGGCCTGTTCAGCGGTGTCGGCCCTCTTTACAACGCTGAGCTGTCGGCTCCCGAGATGCGAGGTCTGCTGGTCTCCTTCTACCAGTTCGCCACCATTCTCGGTATAATGCTTTCTTTCTGGGTCGGATACTGCAGCAACTTCATCGGCGGAACCGGCGAGGGCCAGACCAATCTCGCCTGGAGACTGCCCTCCATCATTCAGGGAATTCCCGCTGTCGCCCTCGCCATCGGCATCTGGTTCATGCCCTTTTCACCCCGATGGCTCGTCAAGGTCGGCCGCGACGAGGAGGCCAAGAAGACCATGGCCTGGATGCGAAAGCTTCCCGTCGACGACGAGCTCGTGCAGATTGAGTACTTGGAGATCAAGGCCGAGAGCCTCTTTGAGAGGCGTGTCTTTGAGCGAGATTTGCCCAAGCTGGCGGCGAAGAACAGCAATGCCTTTATCGAGCAATTCGCTCAGTACGCCATGTGCTTGAACTCCAAGGACAACATCAAGCGAGTCTTGACCGGCTTCTTCATCATGTTCTTCCAGCAGTGGAGGTAAGATCTCATAATCCCTGAACCATCATTCTATCAAACGCTAACAACTGATACAGTGGAATTGATGCAAGCAAGTAGCCCCTTTCTCCCACTTGCGTCCAGACGCCTTGTACTAACCCGAGTTAGTCATCTACTATGCTACCAACATCTTCATCACTCTGGGCTTGACTGGAGGCACCACCGCTCTGCTGGCTACTGGTGTCACCGGTGTCGTCTTCATTGTCAGCACAGTGCCCGCCATGGTAAGCTACCTCGCGTCCCCTTGCTATCAGACGTTGGCAGCTCACTAACCCTGTTGTTGCAGTTGATCATTGACAAGGTCGGCCGAAAGCCCATGCTGCTCGTTGGCTCCATTGTCATGGCTGTCAGCATGGTTATTGTTGGTATCATTGTTGCCAAGTTTGGCCACGACTGGCCTCACCACGTCGCCGCTGGCTGGATCGCAGTTGGTAAGTCATGCACAAGGGTTGGAGTTTGAAAGAGCCTTCAATAGCTGATCAGCGTCTCTCTTACAGCCCTCATCTGGGTTTACATTGCTGGATTTGGCGCCACCTGGGGCCCGGTCTCTTGGACTCTCGTCTCCGAGATCTTCCCCCTCTCCATCCGAGCCAAGGGCGCCTCCATCGGCGCCATGAGCAACTGGCTCAACAACTTTGCCATTGCCTTCTTCGTCCCTCCCATGCTCGAGGCCTGGGCCTGGGGAACCTACATCTTCTTTGCCGGCTTCCTCGTCGTGGGCATCTTTGCCGTCTGGTTCTACCTCCCCGAGACCAAGAACGCGACGCTCGAGGACATGGACCGCGTCTTCAAGAGCCGCACCGGCGAGATTGATGCCCGGCTGATGAGAGAGGTGCAGGAGGAGGTTGGTCTGGTGGCTCTTGTTGAGGGCCGCGCAGCAGCACAGTATGAGAAGAAGGAGATTCACGAGTCGCAGATTGAGAAGCTGTAAATCTGGGCAGCTGCTGGCAGGAGGAGTGCTGTAACATTGATAATGACTGCAACGAAGTCACACGATACCTCTTTTTTTGATTCATTTATCATAATATAATGTTGTTTTCCCATCAAAGCTCCCGGGACATTCATCTTAGATTGATTGACTGTTGAAGGAACGATCACACCACTTAAGGTATCATAGGTATGATGTGAAGAGCTTTCGGAGAGCGGTCTTCTATCTGGCTTCCTATAATGCTATGCCCATATCCCCCTTTTTGATGTTATGGAAAGGGTCAGATAGCACCTCAACCTGTCTATCTAGCATCCTAATATATTACATACAGTATGCAGTATGCAGGAAAATGTTTATGTCTAATAGTATCTGCCCAACTATCTTATTAGGGGATTTTAGATAGCCACTCTCTTAAACATCTCGCCCTAAGGTAGGTAATGATATTACCAGTCAAAGTCTGCCCCAATCCGGCAATAAGGCCATGCACAGCTAACGGGGCAACCCCACAGATTTCTGCATCCCATTAGCGGGGCGCTAGAATGCTCACCTTTTACGATTTCCTCCATAGTAATACGAATCACGAAGAATTCCATGACAGACCGAAACCTGCCATTGAGCAGTTTCACTTGCATTCCCATCAGCTTCATTAACTGAAAGCTACCAGTAGCCTGCTGCTCTTCAGCTACTGGGATACAGTATGATGCATACATGTGGTACCCCGACGTAACAACAGGTGCTTTCGCTGGGACATGCGATGCCTGTCACTCGGAACATCCCTGACGCGAAGAGGAGGGTCCGGACGGGGTGTCTGCCCTGCCGGAAGAGGAGACGAAAGTGTATGTTCTGATACTCGAGTGCATCTACATATCAAGAAAATGCTGACTGGCTCCGGTAGGTGATGAACGCAAGCCCCATTGCGGCAGCTGTCAGGAGAGGAGCGTCGTGTGCAAATACCCAGATATCACCTTTGTCATAGGCCCCCGGCTTGGTGGCCAAGGAACAGCTACCCGCCGTTCGGACCATCCTTTGGCAGACTCAACCCCAAGAGTGAGTCCAGTCATGCACTACGCATTACTGTTTGTTCACTTGACTCAGTAAGCGGGACTGAAGCTGCTTGTTTACTGACAAGAGACGCTGCTAGTTTGTGGACGGTCCTTCATCAACAGGACGTCAGACGTCGTCGGCTCTGGCACCCCCACCATCCTCTCAAGATGACGGGCTGCCATCACATGAAGTCGATTCAGAGCCTCTCGTCGGGCCTGGAACAACCGATGCCGTGGACAGTCTCGTTCAGACCTCGTGTTCTCAGCGCAAGACCGTCTCTCACCTCCCACAATCCGAATGGAAAGACTACTTTTCCACTACCCACGCAGCGGCAGTCAAGAACGAAGCTGCCACACTGCTTCATTTTCGGTATAACCTCGCTCCATGGGTTGAAGCGGGAGACATAGGGTCCTCGTTTGGAACTGAAGTAATGCTACTCGCACAGAAACGACGGTCGATCATGGCCGCGATATCCTCGGCTGCTTCCAGTCAGATGGCGGGATCGAATGCAGTAAACGGGGGTTCGATCATGGCTCGGCGAGCTCCGGACCCTTCGTTTGATCTTGAAGAGCCTTGGGTCAGACGTATCGGGCGTGCGCTGCTGGCATTGTCAGAGGTATTTACTCTGAATCCCTCTCAGTGGAGAAGGCTCTCGTTCTTCCAATGCGACGAATCAACAAGTAATCACAACAGCTTCCTGGCGGCTGAGGAGCCGCTAGAGACCTTGTTGCGGTTTCATGCCAGGATCGGTGAGTTTGCTATACTTCAACCGCGGGCTTTCAGGAGAAAACCCCGTTTAATTCCCAACACCTACTTGACTGACACGCTCCTCTTCGACAGACCTCGCGGCATCATTGTTGACTGATCAACCGCCACTGACATCTCTGGCTTTCATCACGAGTCGCGACCCAGTAGACCGCGCTCTCGCACCGTCGACAAAGTCCATCTACAACGCTTGTCTAGCCCAACTTGCCAGCTGCCTCCAATTGCTCAACGGCAACAGCGGCACTTCTAGCTCCCCTCCCTTCTACACCCCGGCGACGCAAGAGATATTGTCCCCAGGGGCAGGCTCCCTATTTTCGTCAAAGTGGTCCTCACTCTGGTCGAATTGCCAGCAATGGTATCACAGTCGTCCCGTCGAGATGCAGCCCATCCTAGAGATTCGCAGCGTCGAAGCCGGCCAGATTGACGCCGACAACGATTCCTCGTTTCCCATTCCCGTTTACACGAGCTCGATTGCTCTTCAATGCAACATTGTCTACCACATATCGTCACGCCTCCTGCTGCAACGCAAGCCCCGACTTTTGCGCCTCTCTAGTCGACAGCGGCATCTGTCGTCATTGAGCTGGCACGCTCAGCAGATTGCCGGCACCGCGACCCGCAACGACTTTGCCGAGCAGTGGGATCCCATTCTCGTCGCCGGGCTGCTGTGGGTTGCCAGGGACATGACGCACCCGTCGCAGCAGGAGTCGCTCATCTCGTGCTTTCGCCAGATATCGTCCGCCACGGGCTTCAAGCTGGATGAAGAGATCCAGGCCCTGAGGGCGAGATGGAACACTTCACAGCACGCCAGGGACTGCCACTTCTCTGGCTGACGGGATAAAGACAAGCTTGATGCCTGCATGCTGCTGCTGCTACTACTACTGCCGTCCTATCTCGATACAACTATTACTCTTATGGATCGAATACCACCACTGTTTTTCTAACACATCTCGCTGTCGGATGCAATACCGCACCACATCTCGGGCTCATCCGAATACGATGCCAAAATCCGGAATCACCACTTTCTCCTTGCGGCTATTACCCCACACGCTAAACCTCGGCCCGCCGAATCGGCTCTCAGCTCGTCGATCCAATCTGTGAGACCAAGATGCAAAAAGAGCTTTTCTTCTTCATCACCAAACCTATGAGAACAACGAACCTCCCCAATTGATAGCGGCAATGGCTTCAGATCCTCCATTAAAGGGCATCAAAGTCCTCGAGTTTGCCGGTCTTGCTCCTGGTACGTCACTCCACACATCATCTCATGTTCACCTTTACACCCTCGGCTCATTCTCACTTCATATGTCTCATATACTAAAAAAACATCACACACAGGCCCCTTTGCAGGCCTCATGCTCGCCGACGCAGGCGCCTCCGTCCTCCGCATCGACAAGCCCCCGTCCAACGCCGAAGGCGCAGTCCCCTCCCCGGACCTCCTCGCCCGGCACAAGTCCTCCCTCATCGTCAACCTCAAGAACCCCCGCGGCGCCGCCCTCATCAAGCGCCTCGCAAAACACATTGACGTCCTCATCGACCCCTTCCGACCCGGAGTGCTGGAGAAGCTCGGCCTCGGCCCGGACGCCCTGCTCGCCGCCAACCCGCGCCTCATATACGGCCGCCTGACGGGCTTCCGCCGCGACGGCAGATACGCCAGCATGGCCGGCCACGACATCAACTATCTCGCGGCGTCCGGCGTCCTCGCGCTCCTCGGCAGACGCGGCGAGAAGCCCTTCCCGCCATGGAACATCCTCGCCGATTTCGCCGGCGGAGGCGCCATGCTCGCCCACGGCATCCTCCTCGCAATCATCGCCCGCGCCTCGTCAGGAAAAGGCCAGGTCGTCGAGGCCAACATGGTCGACGGCAGCTCGTACCTCGCGTCCTTCCCGCGCATCGCCCTCAAGACCCCCGTGGGGGACAAGCCGCGCGGCAGCAACATCCTCGACTCGGGCTGCCCGTGGTACGACACGTACGAGACGGCCGACGGCGAATACATGGCCGTCGGCGCCCTCGAGCCGCAATTCTTCCGCGCCCTCCTCAAGGGCCTCGATCTATTACACGACCAACCAGGCTGGGAAGATAAACGGCACGACGCTTCCCTCTGGCCTCGCCTCCGCGCCCTCTTCACAGAGACCTTCAAGCGCAAGACGCGCGCCGAATGGGAGGCCGTGTTCGACGGCACAGACGCGTGCTGCGTCCCCGTGCTGCACTACCGCGAGCTGGAATCGCAGCAGCCCCTCAGGGAAGGCGACCAGAGGGCCGCGGTGACGCTCCGCAGCACTCCGCTCTACTCGCCCGCTGACGAACAGGGAGGCGGCTATGTGGGGACGCACCTGGTGCCTGGTCATGGGGGAGAAAAGGTCCTCATGGAGTGGACTGGCTGGGAGAGGGGAGGGCAGTATGAGCTTGAAGGGGGCGCGGCTGCGTTGAGAGACGAGAGGGGAGCGTCTAAGCTGTGATTGCATTTTAAGAACTCATCTTTCTGATTCTTTATCATGATATATGGATGGACCGCAGGTTGACGCAATGCTCCCTTGGGACATATATCAGCGTTCTGTTATGCTTGTATAATTTCCCTTTTTGTTTTCTATATACCATCGCAAATATCACACAACGCAGCATGTAATGAGGCAATACACACCATGATGCTACGCATCAACAACCCAAGACAAGCAAATGGTTATTCTAATCTCTCATGCTATAAGCCTAAAACAAGTGAACCCTTTCTCCCCCAGCAACTAGAAGCAAGAGCCGGCATCTCCATCTCTCAAGAATTCCTACTTCGATCCTGAGAAAAGTAAAAATAGAGAGAAATAACCAGCCCTGCCTTCTCCAAAAAAAATACTCCGCCATCCCGACGAGTTGATTTCTTTTTTCCCTACCCTGATAATCCCACATTTGCCGACACCCCAGACTCTTCCCCCTTGTCTCTTGGACAGATTTCTCATTACTCATTTACTCTAGCCTCCGGAACAGCCGTTGGTATCGAAAAAGAAGAAAATAAAAGGTTGGGGGGAGGTTGAGGGGAAAGAGGAGGAAAGGGGGGAGAGGGGGCGAGTCATCGTGCGTGCCGTCGTTGCATCTCATAAGCCGTAAGTCGCCCAATTTCGTTCTAACACGCCAATCTAGAAATGCGCGTCTGGTCTCGTCTTCGTCTACTGCACTTGGCTGACAATCTCGCTGGCCTTGCCGAGAGACTCGACCATCTGCTGGCACTCCTTCCGCCTGCGGATCGTGAAGTCGCTTTCTCGCAGTAAGTCGTCGATGCTGTCTGTCTTGTACATGTTCTCCAGCAGTTCGCGCTGCATGCCGTCCTTGGTGAGCCTGCAAGCAGTCAGCATTGGTTCTATGTCGTCCGATTTCCATCTGGTGAATACATACTGAACCAGGTTGAACATGATGGCCTTGGGGACCATGTCCGTCATGGTTCGCTTCACAATGTTGTAGTAGGAAGAGATGAGCAGTTCTGTCTCAAGTCAGCATGGACGCGTTTTTTTTTTTTTTTTTTTTTTTTTTTTTTTTTTTTTTTTTTTGAAGAGAAACTCGACTCACTAATGACTTCGACCTCAATGACTTCACGCTCTGACAGCGTGCCCGAGGCCTTGAGGCTGGGTGGCGGCGGCTCCATAGCGGCGGCCTTCTTCTTGTTCTTCGCCGCGAAGAAGCTGCCAAAGAAGCCACCGTTTGAGCTTCCGTCCGCATCCGGGACTGTAGGGCTGGCAGCTCGGGCGGGCGTCGAAGACGGCAGGGCCTTGCCGGTCTTGGGGTCAACTTGAACGGGTCTTGAAGGGTTATGGCGTTCGTTGACAATGGCCATTGCCTATAACATTAGTCAGGTCAGTGCTGAGAGCTTGAGAACACAAGGGGGACCAGTAAACGGAGAGGGATATGCATACGCGGTGGCCATTCAGGAAGTCGGGGTGAGCCGTGTTGATGTAGCAGGCCTCCATCGAGACAAGGTCTCGCACGAGCTTGTTGGTGGGCTCCATGGCCTTCTTGAAGAAGGAGACGACGGTGCTGTGCATCTTCTCTTTCAGGGCGGGATAGCGACGGTACAGCTGCTTGGACAGCAGCTGGGACAGTATGCGCACCAGCTCGTCGTACACCAGCGACACGCACTTCAGACTCGGGTCTTCCATTCGCTTGATCTGCTGCTTGACGATCAGCTCGAAAGCCGTGGTGCCGACGAACAAGGCGGGCGAAGGACCCGACGAGTTGTACAGGTAGGTTCGGATATCCAGGTCCTTGACGACGTCGAAGGGGTCGAGGGCCTTGACTCCGTTGGCGTACAGCTCGTGGAAGACGAAGCTGATACGAGCACCGCCAGACAGCTCGGTGCTAGACAGTTCGGTATTGTTACCGTCCAAGACCGTGCGCCATTCGTTGGTAAACTCGGTGATGATGTTCAGCACAATGTTGGAGCTGTTGCCGAGCATGGACGGGCCCAGGCTCTCCAGCTCGGCGCTGTACTTTTGCAGGGAGCTCGAAATGCGCGCCTTGATGTCCGGCAGCGTCTGCTTGATGTGCATCATCAGAATCAGGTTCAGCTTGCGAGCAAGATAGGGCGTGCCGCAGTAGGAGCTCTTGTTGCGATAGGCCGCGTGGTTCTCGAAAAAGTTCTTCTCCGCCTCCAGGGCAGCGCCAATGGCCTTCTTGTTGTCAATATCTCGCTGTCCTCGGTTGACAACTGGAACGTAGCCCAGGCGCAGCGGAATGATGCGGTTGGACAGAATATCGATGACGTCGGTTCCCTCCTCCATCAGGTCGACCTTGGTGAGGACACCAATGGTGCGCTGGCCCTCGGGGTCAACCTCGCGCGCCAGCTTCAAGCCATCCGAGTTGGCCAAGTCAATGTTGGCTGCGGTGACAGCTAGGATGATGGCGTTTGACTTGGAAATGTACTTGAGCACCATGTCTCGGATCTGGCGCTCGATGTCGCGGGGCTGGTCACCCACGGGGACCTTGGTCAGACCGGGCAAGTCGACCAGCGTCAGGGTCAGGACGTTGGGAGAGTAGATGCGCAAGTTGATGGGAGCTGCCGAGATGCCGGCATTTCGTCCAACCTTGGCTTCCGTTTCCCTCGAGATTTCCTCCCTGATCTTGGAGAAGTCGTAGAACTTCTGGCCGGGCATGTGGAGGAACTCACCCCACTCGTCCGGGTTGGCGGCCTTGTCGGCGCCGGCTTCGATATCCTCATGGCTGACGCCGTTGGTCTGGGCCGGGCGGTTGATGAGCTGGAGGACGAGGGGACGCCGCGTGACGATGCCGGTACCTCGAGGAAGGCTACGGATATTCTATTAGCATGGCTGTCGCCTCTGGAAGGGAGCGCGATAGGGGGAAGTTGGTGGACTCACAAGTCACGGCCGACAATGTTCTCTAGCACTGAACTCTTGCCGCTCGACTGGCTGCCGACGACGGCGATCTGGGGGAGATCAATGGGGTTGTTGACTCCGACGGTTGCGAAAACATCCTGAAGCTTGTTGACGAGCCTAAAGGGGTGAGAGAGAATCGACGTCAGCAACAGCGACCGCGGGCGGGAGGGGGGGGGCGTGAGAGAAGCAGTCGAGGCTCACTGGATCAGGGCGGGATCGGTGATGCCACCCGTCTGGGTAAGCGAAGAGCCAGAACCGCTCATGGTTGCGCTGGTGATGATATGAAGAGACGGAAAGCGTCGAGACGTCGGTGTTGAGGAGCTCAGCCGGTTCGTGGATTAAAGGGGGGGAGAGAGAGGCTATCGCGAAGATGGCGGCGGTCGAGAGAAGTGGCGGGGTGCCGCGTGTGATAAGCCGGTGAGACGGTGAGGAGAGGCTTGCCGGTTCGGACGATCGTTGAAAGAACTTGCACCAAACGTGGCTCTCCCGGGAGGCGCTTGCAGCTGTCGCAGATTCGCAGAAGGGAGTGAAAATGGCGGAGAGCCGCTGCCAGGCTGGAGGTTTGAGAAGATGCGAGTTTATGGCTGTGATGGATTTAGGAGGACTCGCATGGAAGAGAGCCTGACTTGGAAAAGGCACTAGGCGGCTTCAGGGAGTTGTTTTCGTTTGAGCCACGTGTGGCGATGCAGCTGAGAGGCGGCGGAGTACCGGTACGAGATAAGTGGGAGGGATGGGCTTGGGAATGCGTGGGATGGGGTGCGGAAGGGCGCCGGTGGCACGTAGCAGTACTTGGCGCGAGTCGGGCTCCCTTCACGTGAGGCTGGTGCGTTCGCTGGGGAGGCTGCAATCCCAGCACATGCAGCCTAGCAGGGGCCAACGTCACTCGATGAGGTGGACAAGCAGCCAAACGGGCCAGTTGGGTTGCACGAGGAACAAGTCAGAGAAAAGGAAGAAAGAATGAAATTAGATAAAAAAGATAAAAACGACGAGGGTTTGTGACAAGATGGGCATCTATTGGGCAAAACTGTGAGCTACCTAATACTAGATACCTAGGTACCTATGAGAATAGAGAATGGGCGCCAGCCAGCAGCAGCCAATCGATGTAAGTCGACGCCGTGTGTCAGGTATCGATAGGTACAAACGTAGGTACCTACTAAAGCCTCCAACTTGTCCTGCGGCCCTTTGTCACTCATGCCCAAAATACCCACCAAGGCTGGCTGACGCCATGGACTGTTTTGTGTTGTTGATGCTGAACAGAGGTCAAACTGGGCGAGTATCGGAGTATATATAAGTTGATCGATTCACGAGACGCAGTTTTGCTTCATATGTACATCCTTTTGCATACCGGTGGATCCAGTCAAAGTCGATTCGAGTGTAATACTACTACGGCAATCAATCTATTACATGAGGCACATGCACCTCTGAAGCCATCAGGGTCTCCAGGCAGGGGGAATCTGGGTCGGGAGCCACTCAAGAGGCGCGGGATATGCAGCCGTATACGATAGTAGTAGTAGTACTGCAGCCCAACCAGCCGTGGCCGTCAAGCATGGCAGCGGAAACAGGGCGGGCGAAGTCGGCGCCTAACGTGATTGTGAGGTGAACAGCGCGAAGCAGCAGGATGCTTCTGCCACCCGTGATTCCGATGCGTTGCACAAACGGGTCGCGTCAAGTTGGATCTGTGAGGCGCTGAGCAGCATCACATGTAAAGGTAAGGGTACATGTAATGAATGGGGCCTGTCATTTGCCAAAAGAAGCCGCAGTTCATCAGATCGTCAAGGTCAGGTTTTCATCGCCTAGGTATTCCCAAGTTAGCTCTTAAATACTACTGATTGAACAGAACAGATAAGAGCCATGTTGCATTCATCCATCATCCAATGGATGTCCACAGTCGCTGCTGACGACCCCTTGCATTGACTGCAGGATTCGAAATCCACCACACAGACGTGAGACCGCGAGCCCTCATTAGATTAGTGCAAAGCAGCCGCCTTTGAAGTCTTGAGTGCGACGATGGATGCTGTCTCTTGACGATCCATGGCTTTGGAGCAAGCACAGCAACTCTGAACATGTTCGATAATCAACACACTGCCGTATCATCAGACGCTCGGCTCTCAACAAGGTAGGTACATGTACCCAAACGTTCGTAAGGGCGCTTCACATGTTGGTACGTGTAGCGGCTGTAGCTTGTCGCCACGGGCCGCTAAGCCGTCGTATCAAGATGACGCCTGGACGAATCGAGCATCATGTCGTGAAAGTATACAAGAATCCATCACTTGAGCCGCTGTTGCGAGAGAAACTTACTGACCGGCATTCAACAATGAAGTTGCTGATCGAGTCGTAAGAGAGAGCTCTCGACTACGTACACCCACCACCTACGTGCACTTGCACATGGACGAGCAGATTGATGGGCTAGGTATCCCTTCCATGACAGCCCAGGACTCCAGCGCCGCCCAGGGCTGCCCGCCTGTAGCTCTCGCCTGTCCAGCGCGGCCACAGCGCCCCGGCCACTGAGGCGTCGCCGCTCGCCCACTGAAACGCATCCACCATGACGGGCTGCTCAGCGACCCGAGTCCCAGAACAGAACAGCCCCGGGCGCCGCCTTGACCGGAACCTTAATCCTCCACCTGCAACAACCTCCACAGCCCATCAGCTAAACGATCGATCTGGACATTCAACCCCTCTGACGACATTTCTCTCAGCCCGCACCACACGCTGCAAACGACGAGCCTTTTCTTGCTTTTGTTTCCCCCTTCTTCTTCTTCTTCTCTTCTGTCGTCTGCTTCCGGCCGTACAGCAGCAGCATCTCCCGCACCGCATCTGCTTGTGCTTGTGCTTGTGCCCGTCTGGTGTTGTTGCGTCTCTCGCTCTCGCTCTAGAGGTCTACCGCGGACGAGCCCAGAGTCTACCAGCCAGGCTGCCGTCTTCCACGAGTCCCGCCCAAATTCCGTCACTTGGCGGTGCCTCGCCATCCCGAGCTCCTACGCCCACGTCTCGACTTCCTCCGAGCCCGTTCTCGCCTTCTGGCTGTTTGGCCAGCCTCGCCTCAAGCTCCTCCTCAGCTCCTCTACCGACTTCCACCCAGCTCCTCCTCCTCCTCCCCCATCGCCCCGCGGCCACCTGCCGCGTAGAGTCGACGTGGACCAACTCTTGAACCCTCGTGCCCTCTCGGTTGACGCCTCCGACGGCCACAGCTCTCCGCCAGCCTCTCGGAGCTCCTCTGACACTTCATCAGCGGCACTCAACGCTCCTTCTGTCCCGATCCCCATCGACACTTCCGCCTCGTCTTCCACCAGATCCCCGGCCACCGCTGCGAACATAGCGTCTTCTACAGCAGGCCCATCTGGTGCCTCGACCTCGCTCCAGGCTCCCCCGCAGATCCTAGGCCGACGACGACGAGCATCATTAGACAACCCGCCAGAAGCCGAGTCTCACATTTCCCTCGCTGCTGCGGACGCTGTGCCTGCCGCTGCGGACACAACTGCTGGGAGGCAACTCAAGCGAAGGCGACGTGGCGGCGCAAGCATCAGCATGCTGTCTGACGGGGGGGACTTGGCCGGGACGTCCAACGGCTCCGGCGTCACCCAGTCGCAGTCGAATGGCTCCTTTCCTGCATCCACAACGCAGCGGGATGCGGCGGCTTCGTTCGCTGCCAACGGCAGCCGAAAGGCCGGCGTCGTGACAAACGGGTCGTCCAACGGCGAGAAGCGTCCAGTCTCACAGCCCGCAACGTACTTTGGACACAGTCGAGAAGAGGTCACGCGGATACTGATCCAGGCCCTCAAGGACATGGGCTATCAGGCCGCAGCCGACAGCGTCAGCCAGGAGAGCGGCTATAGCTTGGAGAGCCCAACCGTTGCGGCATTCCGCTCCGCCGTGCTTGCCGGTGCGTGGGCGGAGGCTGAAGACCTACTGAGAGGGGCAACGGTGGCGGAGGAGAACGACGGCGGAGGTAACGGTCTGGTCCTCACGTCCGGCTCGGACAAGAATGCTATGCGCTTCTGGCTCCGGCAGCAGAAATATCTAGAGCTCCTGGAGCAGCGAGACACCAGCCGGGCGCTGACCACTCTGCGCGGCGAACTAACACCCCTGAACCACGACAGGGCCAAACTCCACTTCCTATCGAGCCTGCTCATGTGCCAGTCGACGGAAGACCTGATGCGAAAGGCCGACTGGGACGGTGCCCGCGGGCAGTCTCGGAGAAAGCTGCTATCAGAATTATCCAGTTGAGCCATCCCCTACCACAACCTGTCCCTGGTAGAGCCTGTTTTGCTAATTGACTGACGTATAGAACGCATATCGCCTTCCGTCATGCTGCCGGAAAACCGGCTGGCCATACTGCTTCAGCACGTTAAGCAGAGCCAGATTGACACCTGCCTCTACCACACGGCAGCGTCTTCTCCGTCTCTGTACTCGGATCACCTCTGTGATCGACGCAATTTTCCCTCGGAATGGGCAGTAGAGCTGGGTGAGCTTGGAGGCGAAGTCTGGTCTGTCCGATTTTCTCACGACGGCACGCGCCTGGCAGCCTGCGGGAGCCGGGAGCACGTCAAGATTTGGGACACCCATACATATACTGTCACACACGTTCTCCCAAACCATGGAGGCGAGGGCGTTGGTGACATCGCCTGGAGCCCTGACGACTCTATGCTTGTCACTTGCTCTTTTGACAAGTACGCTCGTCTGTGGGATGCCAATGTAAGTGACTTTGAATGACCCTTCGCGAACTATTGCACTTGCCCGAACAAGCCGCAAGTCAATTCTCAACATGTCTCGTCAGTTTCATTGCTAATTCCCGAGATACCCAGACCGGTACCCTGATCAAGTCCTTGAAACAGTTTGATGAGCCAGTCAGTGGCTGCGTGTGGTCCTCCGACAGCAGGTCGTTCGTAATTGGCAGCCTCGATAAGGTTCATGGCCTCTGCACGTTCAACGTATGGGACGAGGAGACGATCGAATGGGGCAAGAAACACAGAGTGCAGGATGTCTGCGGTTCTCCCGATGGCCGTCTACTGGTAGCAGTCGACGACCTGCAAACGATTCACGTGTACGATGCTAACACGCGAGAGCTGGAGTACGATCTGGAGCTGAAGGCACGCCCGACCTCGGTCAGCATCAGTCAGGATTCTCGGCACTTGCTGGTCAATAGGCAGGACGGCGAGGCTCAGCTGATTGACCTCGTGACGAGAAACTCGGTGCACAAGTTTCTGGGGCATACGGGAGGCGAGTTCATGATCCGCAGCGCCTTTGGCGGAGCCAACGAGAGCTTCGTCATGAGCGGGAGCGAAGACGGCAACGTGCTCATCTGGCACAAGAACATTGGCGCCGCCGTCGAGCGGCTGCCCGCCCACCAGCCGCGATGCAACGCAGTCGTCTGGAACCCGGCCGATCCATGCATGCTGGCGTCGTGCGGCGACGACGGCCGCATCAAGATGTAAGTCCAAGTCGCGTGATCCTCGCATGTAAAAGGCTAACAATGAGTCGCCAGCTGGACAAGCAGGGCTCGCGCCGCTGAGCTTCGGGCAAGACATGCTCGAGCATCCAACGACTGGAGGGGTGCGGTCGATGAATCGTAGGACGAGATGGAGTTGGAGATGCCGCGCGCTCGCCCTCGGCCTACCTTGACGGGGCGAGTTGCGACACCCGCGCTGCCAGCGGCCCCTGAAATGCCTCCGCCACCACCAGTTTCTGCACCTCCAGGGACACCTGCGCGGTCTTTGATACCTGCAATGCCTCGCAGGCGGGTGACACCTGCGGTACCACTGATACCTCCGAGGTCTGCGATGTCTACGAGGTCTGCGACACCCATGACAACCGCCATGCCTATTACTCCTGCCGCGCCTACGACGCCTGCCATGCCTACGATGCCTGCCATGCCTACGACGCCTGCCGCGTCTGGCTTGTCCACCCTGCCCCCGCCTACAATGTTTATGTTTCCTGAGGTGAATCCGCAGGCCGTTGCTGGGACCCGTGCAGCGCAAAGGGCGGCGACGATGGCACAGCCGACAACAACCACACAGCCATCGACGGCACAGCAGTCAACGAGGACACAGCCGTCAATGACGCAACAAGAAGCTTCCGATCTGATTTCAAGGCTGCTCGACAATTGGCCCGGGCTTCCGGCGGTGATGAATCCGCCAGTGCCGCCTTTGCCGGAAGACTCCTCTGCTGAGGGGGACGACACAGCCATGGAGCCCTAGTGTTGGCTGGAGGGTACCTATACGGAGAGGAGCGAGCGCAGCGCATTACAGCTGCACAACCGCCACTCTTTCCTTTCGACACGGGTGAAACCTTGGGAAGCTTGGCTCTTGGCCTCTGGTCAGCTCTCCATCGACCCGTCCGCGTCTTCGTCTTTTACGTCCTTCTTTCTTTTTCTTACCTTTCACATTGTAATCTACCCAATTGGGAGGCGTTTCAAGAGGCAGCGGCCGATGTACACGGGGTTTCGATGCTACGGGCGGCAATAATGATTATGTGTAGAAGTCTTGTCTTGTTGTTTGATACATGGGCATCTTGCAGTACACCCCTCTCTACGTGTTATTGGCTCCGCAAGGTTGCTGACGTGTAAGAGGTGGCGAAGAGGTTCTGTGTAGAGTATAGTAGCGAGTCTGAGAATAACAGCGGTTAAAGGTGCCTCTCTGGAGCTCTGAATTTGTGCGAGGTGCGCGATTGTGTACAGATGTTGCTCTTGTTTTGGCGAGACTAATACTTTCGTGACATGCAACATCTCGTTGAGATGGGTCAATACCTGATAGTTACATGTAGGCATTGATGATCTGAAGAACGGCATCGTTACAGTTACAGGTAGTGCAAGGGACAAGCCAAAGGCCGCCGCAAATCGACTCCAAGGTTCTTCTGTTCGTCCAGAAGCAGCTGTTTCTACCTTGCCGTCTCTCTTTGGATGTGCACATCAAGAAGGCCAAATAGGATATAAGCGTTTGCCTTGTATTATGCACATGCAGAAGACTCTAGATAACATGGTGAATGATACAATCCCCATATTGCTACAGACAAACCACCAGGTACATGCTGAAGGGTGAAATACAGATCCATGATCAAGGTCGTGGTAGTGAAACGACTTGGGATCAACTATACCATGATATTATGAGAAGCATCAGGTAGTAGTAAAAGAAGAAGAAGAAAAAATAAAGGCAGGCTGGCGTTGATAACGTCAATATTCACCGGGTTTTTCCCTTCCACTTGCGAAACATCAATCCGACTCAGGCACCTATAAACAAAGCAAGAAGTGGAAAGACGCAGGATAACACGGCCTCCAAGCACATGTTGGGTAGGCAGAGACACAACGACAGAGTGGCGCGGTGTCGCGTGAGCTGAAAACCTCCAGACAGGACCGAAAACCCTTGTATGATATGTTCCGTCTTCGGGTTGGGATTAGCATCGAGACCGGGTCAGAGGTACATGATGTAGCTTGGCTTTCGGTATCGTCCCTGGACGGAGCAGATGGGAATCTTTTTGTTGCCCATGCAGGTACCTGCATGCAACCAGTCAAGTAATACCGATGCATGTTAGTCATTTGTGATGCTTCTTCCTCGTGCTAGCGTTTGGTTAGGACGTTCATCTTGTTGTAGTAATACTGCCTCGACTAATCATAGGTGAGAGCTGTCGCTTTCTTCGAGAGCCGGTGGTGCTGTAGGTATGTAGATGAAGGCCTAATGCGTTTCATCGCCGGAATGAGGTGTAACCTTACAGTGATCCCTGGTCTCTGCAAACAGCTGATGTGGTTGTAGAAGCATTCACGCTGTGCCAGCAGATGACAAGAACGACAGGCCAAGGGCATAAAGGCTCTACCCTTGAATAGAGAAGATGGGAATATTGAGGTGTCGTGCGTGTATCAACGGGAAAGTAAGTCCCTCTCTATATGGCTCTGATGCCGTGACGTTGATGTTGTCGAGGCCCTGACATTGAATGCCGTCGATGCTCCTATGGGTTCACCCAGCAGAGGACGAATGGTATGAGACGTCAACAAGTACATGAACATACACATGTACCTCGTCAATGGCACCAGCTGCTGCAATATTCCAGGCAAACGTCAACATGGACTAGTTTCTCGTTCACTGCTGTGTAAATGTGTAAGGGGTTCTCTTTTTTCATCCTGCCCGGCCGTTTGCCCGTGCAAGAATTCGCAGGGAGAAAAGACGCCTGGCACTCACAGTGTCCGGCATCTTACCCCTATCTTCTTGAGAGGTTCGAGCGTCCCGTCGACTAAGGGCATTATAACTGAGAGCGCGGCCTCCCCAAGATGCCTAGGACGCATGTACGAGGACAGAAGGTTGATCTCCGAACATGGAAAGCTTCCAGGGTTACCCAAGGCTTTCTTTTCTTTTTCCCGCGCTCTTCTTCGTTTTTGCTTTTGGCGGCATCGTTAGAGCCCGGGGAGGCGACGTGAGATTGGCCAGGGGACCGAAGGATGCAACGAACTCGCAGAAGTTCCCCGCTCGTAATCCGGGGCATCTGTGAGGGGTTCCGGAGCCAGTTCGTCGTCTACACTTCGTCTAGACTCTAGACCGGCAGCTCTGCAACGCTACGGAGCTGCTGGTCGAGCCTGTCGCGTGTGGCCAAGATAATGGTATACGAAGCAATTACGCACTCGATCAAGAACCAAGTGAGGCGGACTCTCAGATCGTTCGCGTAGCCAAGCGAGTTGGTCCCGCGAGCATCTTGCATACCCAATATGGCCTAGAAAGAACCACGGTAGACAGTTAGCCGCGAAATAAGCAAATGACAAGAGGCTCCTAGGATATTTCCGGTCTCATACACAGACAGACTCGCAGATGCTCGCACGCATGAGATGAGCCAGGCGACAAGCTTTCTGGCCAGCCTATTGGTCTGGTTATTATTCTTTTCTCTTTGAGGCAATGCAAAACAGGCGAAGTGACATTACCTGAGTAGGGAGTATCGTATCTCATCTTAGCTTCGTTGCCAACTCAACGTCCGGCTTGGAAAATTCACCTACGCAATAACATCAGTAAGGCCGCTGGGATCGGAACCGAGGCGATTTGAAGCAATCATCGACCACAGTGTAAGTAGTCGCTTCCATCCAGATGCAGAAAGCCTGCTTGCTATCCATGGCCTCGCTTCCACGGCATGCAGGGCTGGCGTTGTCGGTGCAGACTTGGCCTTCGATGCCAGGGGCATAATGCAGCGCTTTGACGGTATTCTAGGAAACGAAGCATCCGTGCTGCTGACATACATACATGTCCGCTGCATGCGTGTGTTGGCTTATCCTGCACTCAGGAGAAGTATCCCGCCTTGAAGATGTACTAGCAAGTCGCCGACCTGGCTGCAAAATCACGCCAGCCCTGTTATACTTGCAATGTCACTTCCAGGTTGATGGCACGAACCTCTATCTGGTAGGTGGGCATGTCATCCAAGAAACAGACAGAAAATATCTGAGCGAACCCGGTTTGAGCTGTAAACCAAGCATAAGTTCCAAGGCATGCGACACCCAGTGAGGCGGCACTGAGTCTTTGCTGGCCAAAGGAGAGGCGAGTCATCCGAATGAGGTTTTCAAGAGCGCAGTATATATCAGCAGTGCTACTGCTCTGTGGTATTGACAGATAGGTCGTCGAGCTTCATGTAATCTGTGCTCTGTCCGGAGTACGGGTGTAGAGCACCGTGACCAGGTCGAAGCCACAAGATTGGCTGTCGCTATCTTGATGCCCTGGTCCGTAAGACAGAAATAGTAATCACTTGGCTCTCAGACAAGGAGAATCGTGCCTTTAGCTTTCCCCTCTCATATGCCGACGAACGGGATTGGGTGGCCGTCTTGGCAATAGCATGTTCCCGGGCAACAACATCAGATAGCCGTCTCAGCAACCGTCAATCCATCAAGGCCGCTCTACCAGATACCGATAGAAAGTGTGGGAGTATGCACCAAGCCACACTCCTTTCATCTTGTTCCCTCGCCGGAAACTAAGACAAGGCAGTGCTGACAGCGTTCGCATTGGAGGGGGCATACTCCGATAGGCGTTGGCGTGAGGCACATGCTGGAGCCGGCGCCCGTTCATCTTGGAAAGTTTTGCGCAGGTCTGGCGAAGCTAGTTTCAGGAAGATGGTGGTGGCACAGCGATATGTCGCAGAGGCAGGGTTGTATCGGTGCTCTTGCAAAGCTAGACGCTTAGCCCGAGGGGGTTCCCAAGAGCACTGGCCAACTGCATATTCTGTGCCCAATAGGCTGGAGATTTAAATTGATCGTAGATCAAGATGGGGGGCCTATCGGCCGTTGTTCGCTCCATCGAGAAGCCAAAGCAAAATCGAAATCGATACCGGCGCCATCTTGAGCTCGACATCGGGGGGGTTCGGCATTGAGGATCATAGGAGCCTGGCCTGGGACAGGCGGCACGAAGGCGACCGCCTCGAAGAGTTGGCTGTGAGCATTTACCGCCGGCGTTCCGAATGGCTCCATTCGTACGGTGTT